GTCGGTGTCGTACCTACCTCTCCAGAGCTCCAACCATCTCCCGTAGTAGAGTCCTCTCTCTTTTGCGCCAAACAACCTTCTTTCGACCCCCCGCCTTTACCAAGTCATCAACACGATAATTTTCGACAAGTCACAAGGACCCGTATCTTCATTTCTACACTCTTTTCTGGTCACAGCTGTAGCAGATCCCTGTAATCATGGCGTCGAAAAAGACAAAGCCCACCGCTGGTGACGACGTCGACGTTGACGAGCTCTTCTCTGGTCTTGACCGCGATAAGAAGCCTAAGAAGACAACAAAGTCTAAGCCCACCTCTGCCGCATCCAAGGCAATTGCCGATCAGGATATTCTCGCCGACCTTGAATCGGAACTGGCTGAGCAGCCTTCGCGACCTCATACCCCCCGCCTCAAAGATGCCACCCGCCGTTCCACAGCAACACCCCCCGCTGGCGACCCTCGCAAATCTACCGATAGTGCACGCAGCCTGAAAGCAACATTCACACCAAGCGCCACGAGCTCAGAACTTCACGAGAACGAGAAGAAGCCAACATCTGAGCCTGTTCAGCAAGAACCTGCCCCTCAAGCCTCTGGTGGAGGATGGTGGGGTGGCATCTTGTCTACGGCCAGTGCCGCTATGAAGCAGGCTGAAGCCGCTGTCTCACAGATCCAACAGAACGAAGAGGCCAAGAAGTGGGCAGATCAGGTCAAGGGAATTAGAGGACTTGATGTCAACACTCTCCGAACCTACGGTATGTTTGAAATCAGACAGTGAATCTTGGATCTAGCTAATTGAGTCTAGGTGACGAACTCCGACATCGTGCTCTTCCTACCTTCACCAACATCCTCCACACCCTTGCGCCACCTATCAGCTCCCATGAGCGCCTTCTCATTCATATTACCCACGACCTTGTCGGCTATCCGTCACTCGACCCTCTGATTCATAATGTCTTTGGCCATGTGATGGCACAGGTTGAGGGCGGCGACCTTCTTGTCATCCAGCGTGGCCAGGAGAGCCACTCTCGACGTAGTACCGATAGTGTTGCTGGATGGCACGACGGACCTTGGTGGAGACAAACTGATACGCCCCGTGAGCTCGGATTGATCAAGGGTTTGCCTGAAGGAACCAAACTTTGCCGCGCCAACGCCGAATCGCACGCGAACGAATACTTCTCTGCCAACGGTGGTGTTGAAGCAGCCAAGCACAAAGCCACCGAAGATGTGAGCGAGACCAATCCTGTTAGAACCTCGGACCTGTTCCTGGCTGTTCAGGCAATTTCCGTGGATGAGGACAAGAACCTGTTCGCTCGCACTGCTTCTGCGGAGAAGGAGAAGGACTCTTCTGGTGTCGAGGATCAAGATGAGAACGAGGAGCTCATTTGTTTCGCGGTTTTCATTCTGGATCCTGTCCACGACATTGAGTTTTATACCGTCAGCCAGGCTGTCCCTGCTCGATGGGTTCAGTGGCTCGATACCCCCGCCCCTCTCACACCTCGATCTGGTGAGGATGGCGATGTGTCCGATGTCAACATTCCCGAAGAAATCAGGGATATCATTGAGAGCGGTGGCGTTGACCCCCGAGAATGGGTTGCTGAGTGGCTTGAAGAGCTTCTCAACCTTTCTATCGGTACTGTTGCTCAGCGATATGTTGCTCGCCGCATGGGTGTTGGTGAGGGTGGCCTTGGCAGGGGCAAGAGGAGGATGGAAGATCTCGTGCAGGACAATGCTGGTGAGGCTGCCCGCGCTGGCGTCATCTAAAAGACGTGCAGGGAAAACGTTTAAAGTATGTTGTATGACAAGGTAGGTTGGGCGTTGGAGTTTGCGACCGGTAAATGTAACCTTCGGAAGCTAAAGTGGGCTTGGAAATATTTGAATACTGGGTTCTCTTTTTGTCACGCAGTGATAGGATCACTTTGGAATCTATACTGTCATTAATATCAAGCTGGACTTTGAACGTCGACTAACTCGACCCTGCTTTACCCGCCTTTAAAGCCTGATCACAGAATTGTATCTATGTCCTGAAGCAAAGTTTATGTATGACCAACTCGATGAACTGTTCCGGCCTTCTTAAGCTCACCTCTAGCCTCTCTCGTGGCACTCTCCAAATCAACCTTCTTCAACGGCCGGTACTCAGGGTTCCACATCTGCTCCCTGATCCACTCCTCCAGTTCTTCTTCCTTTTCAGGGATGCCCTCCTGTGTAGCCTCACCATCCTTGACGGCTGCTTGTATCACATTGCGGGCAATGCGGACACTTACATCCCGCACTGAATCCACGTCTGGCAGAAGAGGAGCCGTTGAGTCTTTGAGAACAGGGCTTAGTGAGGAAACTCCTTCCACAGCGGCTACAAGCATGCGATCTGTCAAGTGCTTGGCACGGGAGAGCACGCAGCCGAGACCGATGCCTGGGAAGACAACTGAGTTGTTGCATTCGCCCACGTTGATTGTGATTTCAGAACCATCCTTGCCCCATGGGCCCTTGGCGGGTGGAAAGGGTGAGCCTGTGGCTACAAGGGCCTTTCCATCGGTCCACTTGAGGATATCCTCGGGTTTGGCCTCATGAAGGCGCGTAGGGTTGGAGAGAGGAAGAACGATAGGGCGTTCGTGGTGCTCAGCCATGGCGCGGATGACATCTTCTGTGAAGGCACCAGGTTTGGTAGACGTGCCGACAAGAACGTTAGGTCGAACCTCCCTGATCACGGAGAGGAGATCAGTGTCCTTGTCTTTCCACCCTGAAGCATCCTTAGTAAAGATTTTTTGAGAATCAGTAACACCTTCGGTTTCCGAGGTGAGGAGACCAGGCTTGTCAATCAACCTAAACAGTCAGTCAGTTATTGTTTTACCGTACAAGGTGATATGCTTACCAGATCTGCTTTGCCGCCTCCTCGTGGCTCATATTTCCCTCCGTGGCAATAGCATCTCGAACTTGGTCCGCGATACCAAGTCCAGCACTGCCGGCTCCAAAGACGACCATTCGAAGGTCCTTGAGCTTTTGCTTGCTGACGTGAAGACCTGACAGTATAGCTGCGAGAGTTACGCAGCCTGTTCCTTGGACATCGTCGTTGAAGCAAGCAAAGTCTGGACGATATCGATCAAGAATCTTCCTCGCTACACGTGGGTCAAAAACTGATGTTGACTTATGGCAAGGGATGGTGCGCACCGTTGGTCAAACCAAAGTCCTCAAAGTGAATATAGGCCTTGGGGTATAGCTTCCTGGCAGATTGAACAAAGATGTCGACAAACTGGGCGTATTCCTCCCCGCGGACGCGCTTCTCTTTTAGACCAAGGTATAACTCATCATCGAGAAGCTCCTTGTTGTCTGTGCCGCAGTCGAGGACAACTGGAAGGGTCCTGTTTGGATGGACGCCTGCACAGAGAGTGGTGAGGACTAACTTGGCAACGGAGATGAGGATACCGCCAACACCTTGGTCCCCAATGCCGAGGATTTCTTCGCCATCTTAGTGATAGGTTAGTAATCAATAACAGGCGTGAAACGGAGGAGAAACTGACCAGATACGACAATGTAGTCAATATCTTCAGGGTTTCCCCACTGAGCGAGGTTGTGATGCACATGATCTGGGTCTCGAATATTAAGATAACAGCCTTCAGGCCGCCTAAATAGTCGAGAGTAATTCTGGATAGCATCCCCTTCTGTTGGCGTATAGACGATGCTCATCATCTCATCGAGATGAAGTTGCAGAAGCTTCACACAAGAATCAGCATTGCGGTTATATCGGAACAACGCGTGTGTGGTACCTTGTAGTACAGAACCTCATTTTGATCCTTTAGTGAAGTGAGAAAAGTATTCTTGGCTAAATCGTCAGGTCTTGACGAATATTGCTCATAGGCACGTTTGCATTGTTGCTCAAGTGTCTGAACACCTTGAGGTAGCAATCCTGTGAGACTAAACTCACGACGTTCATCTGGAGGAAAAGCAGAGCCCTTGTTCAGATAGGGAGTATTCAAAAGTGAAGTGCCACTGAGTGCGCAGTTGATAGGACCGGTGGTGCTGAGTGGTAGATCACCAAACTTGGACTTTTTGGAGTGATCTGCCTTTGTGGCATAGTTGGTGAGATTCAGGTATCGCATAGTGGACGGATATAAACGGAAACGATGGACAGGGGCTGATCTGGATAATTTGAACATGATTATTTACTTGGCGGTCCTGGCCTTTGATATGTAGTATTAATAGTAGAGTAGCACCGATAGATACGGCAGTTGAGATAAAGCATCAAGTCCTGATCAGATATCACAAAGATGACGTCGTTGAGCTCTCACTGGCCTAAATCCACTCTGACGAAAGAATGCGAAAACTTGATTGCATTTGTATCTGCACGTGCTAAAAACCGGAAGACAATAGGGTCTTTGATATCATGAACTTCGATAGTATTCCAGATAATCACATGATAGTGACCACAACTATATGACAAGAAAAGAAAAGAAAAGAATGTCGGTGCTCCTGGAGCCTCGCCCGTGTAGAAATTGATACAATGTTATCCACCGAAAGGTGACCAACAAAGACGAGACGGACGCGGACTATGATGGCCCTTGTTGTTCTAGCAACTACGACAAACAGAAACACAACAAATTGCGAGACTTTTAGTCGTTAAATCCTCCTTCAGACTACTTCGTGCGGATAGTACAAAACGTACCGTCCGTAGAAGACCCTCCGTGAGGAAGACTCGTGGGAAGATTGAGTGACTGAAGGAAGAACGCTGCGGATAGCAATGAAAATGCAGGTACCTACCGTAAATCGAGACGTATAATGAGATCTTGAGATCGCGTCTTGTTGTACGTTGCTCTTGAGAGAGACATTGAGTGATAGTGAGAGAATGGGAAGTTTATGGTGAAGGAAAATTTGACGCGACAAGTTTTGGTGGTGGAGTTGAAATGCACGTACCCCACCCACTGTTCGGTTGGCGGGCCACAGAACCCAGCCACCGAAAGACACTGCATTCCAACTTGAATCCTCATTGGCTCATAAACTTACACCAGAACAATCACTTCTCACTATATCTGTCTCACAGCATATGCCTTCGTGGCTTGCCAAGCCTTGTATTATCTGCATCTATAAATACAGAAATCACGGACAGCAGTATTACTATGACTATCTCTGCTTCTAAGCGTTCTCGTGGTGAGATGGCCTTGTCTCAATCTCCCCTTCCTCCACCAACGCCTTCTCAGCCTTCAAGGCGTCAACCTCAAGCTCAATTCCGAGACCAACATCTCGGCGCGCCTCATCCAGCATCTTTGCATCCTCTTCGCCAGTGTGGCTTCCAAACACTCGATCCATGTCCTCGAGAGTAGCACCCTTAGTTTCTGGAAGACAGAAGTACAACCAGACCATACTACATGCCAAGAAAACGGCAAAGAAGATGTAAGTGCCCCATTCGAGAGTCTCGAACATGGGTGGTACGTAAAAAGCAACAGCAAAGTTGTTGAGCTAGGATCACTGTTAGTTATCGTTAGCCAATAAGCGAGATGGGGGATACTTACCCAGTTACTGGAGGCACCAATCGAAGAACCCTTGGATCGGATAGAAAGAGGGAAGATCTCAGCAACAAGAGTCCATGACACAGGACCCCACGTGGCTCCAAAAGCCCCGACGTAGAGCCAGATGAAAGCCACGGCAACCCAACCCGCAGCACTATGCGTCTCCCAATCGTGCTGGAACTTGGCGACAATAATACCAGCGAGAACCATGGAGATGAGCATGACGATGGATCCCACATAAAGCATTGGCTTTCTTCCAACCTTGTCGATGATCGCCATCGCAGGTAAAGTGAAGATGAAGAACACAACACCCGTTACGCCTGTGGCCAATAGAGCCTGCGTTCCTCCGGTAAGACCTAGACTCTCAAAGACTTGACTAGCATAGTAGATGATCGCGTCAATACCTGACCACTGCTGCCAGAACATGACCAGCCAAGCTGTAGCAACGCGTTTGAAGTTGTCCTTGGTACGGAAGATCTGATAGTACTGAGCAAACTGGGCCATCCAGACACTGCCCTGCTCTTTAGCAGCCAGATTGGGGAAGTTCTTGGCGAATGCGCGTTGTTCAAAGAGAGCCTCTGCCTTGATCTCCTTGTACTCTACCTGAATGAGCTCGTGCTCAATGGGAAGGTTGCGGAGGTAGGATAGTGTCTTGAGAGCCTCCTCATCACGGCCTTGCTTCACAAGCCAACGTGGGGAAAATGGCAGCCACCAGATTCCAAGGGCGAGAAGAACAGCGGGGATCCCTTGTATAATTGATGGGAGCATCCATGCGAGGTTGCTTTGGCCTTGACCTGTGCCGCCGATATAGTTGCTGCCGTATCCGATCCAGAATGAGAGCATGATACCGAGGATGGTGCAGAATTGGTAGAAGGAGACGAGGAAGCCACGGAGCTCGGGAGAGGATAATTCGGCGTTGTAGAGAGGACTAGAGAGACGTCAGTCAGATACGAATTTTAGTACTGCATAATAGTGAGGACTTACCCAACACCACTGAAAGTGCCAACTCCAATGCCAGTGAAGAAACGACCGGCATAAAGCATAGAAGCATTATCCTTCGTTCCTCCAATATACAGATAACTACCCAGGATAACCCAGCAGCAAGCCATGAACATAGTATACTTTCGTGAATAGACTTCACCAAAGACACCAGCGGACAGAGAGCCTAAAATGCCACCAAGTTGAAGGATCGAGGTAAGCCAGCCGGTGGCTGAGGATGAGTTGACGATAGAGGGGAAGTTTTCTTTAAATCGATGCATGACTAGGGATTGGCCTAGGACACCTTGTTGGTAGCCATATTCGAAGCCACCGAACCTGGAAATGTTAGTGAAAGGCTGGATATGAGGATGTAGGAGACGAACGAGGCGAAAAGAGCGATGACGATGAGTTTGGGGTTCTTGGCTAGAGTCCTCCATCGGTTTTTGTAGGCGAGCTTCGTTCGCTCGTCAACTGTCGACTCCATGATGAACGAAGCTTGAATACAATATATTCACCACCGTGGAAGAAGAAGAGAAGTAGTTCAACCAAGCCACGAGGCAAGTATAAGTGTGATAGAACCAAGATCAACATCGGGAGAACAATGGCCTTATATAACGAACCACTTTCTTTCCATCATCGACAATTTCATTGCCATTTCTAGCCATCAACTACATGGATCATAGTGTTTAGCTCCCCGCAACTAACACCTCATGCCAATCCGGGGACCCCAGATGCAACATGAAAAAGATACAAATGACGATGTATCTTTATGGAGTAGCACTGCTAGGGTCGGTGAGACTCCGGCGATGGGATGGGATGGGTGCGTGGGATGTCCATATTGGGTAAGACTTCTGTATATGGCAATATCAAGCACCTCGGAACTGTAGCTTCATTTTGCCTCTTATGATTGAGAATATCATGAGGACCTGGTTCTATGATTATTGATTTGCTACTAGAGTTACAAGTTACGGTTAGGTAGAGTATCAATAAAACCAGAAGTCAGGCAATCATGCAACGTGAGACATTTATAAGAATCCACAAAATAAGAATAATCGTATTGCAATCCATACAAGATCCATTTTCTTACTTGAAATGTTACATTGCAAAAATCGATACCACATCAATCTGTCGGAGCGCCCCGACTTACACGGATATTTTAGTGGGCAAGAGTTCGCCGAGCATTAAAGAAATCACGCGCTGTTGACAAGTTTTCCAACCAAGGAATGAACTGCAAAAATGGATGCCCTCTTTAAACGCTCAGGATTATGAAACGCATCTCCTCCCCACAATGGATGTTTCCCCGGTGTCAGCTCTTACTATGACGATCCCGCTTCTCTTCTCCAAATGCCCAACATCCTCGGCATATGTTTCTCCAGTCAAAGTTTATTGAATTCAGATAAGTCGAATGTTTGCTTTTGATGATTTCGAGATTCAAATTCATAACAACCAGACATTCAGGTCGACTCAACACCGACTGTCCTTGGCATCAGCAGATGAGCCTTGTAACTTATGAGGCTCAACAAAGAATATTGATCCGCGAGTAAACGGATACTGATGCTAGGCAGAAGGATTTCCTGTATAAACATTGGCTAGAAACAGGGGCCAAGCATTTGGAAGTGCTTCTGACTTACCTAACAATATGGTACGTTTCACACAAATCTTGCTTATTTACACGACGACAAGAAAAACAGCCTCGTCAGTAAATTTTAGAATATTTATTAAGTACACTCACTTAATCACAAGGAGAGTTAAAATTAACAGCCTCCAACCATGTTTACTTGGCGGACAAGGTTACTGCATGACTCGTCTATGCTACCCTATATATTCAATTTCGGCCAAACTGAAGAAAAGAAAATATGAGGTGCGCTCATTCCAACTTTCTTTTTACAGTATAACCCCAGATTTCAACAAATGCGGAGAAATAGTACACAGAGGTAAAGCATATCCGCTATGAAACCTCCGAGGCGTTTGTGGCGGTTAAAAGTGCCTCTTTTAAGTTCGGGGGTAATGAGTTAAAATCCTTCGGGAATAAATTTAAATCGGGTAATTTTAGACACCACATGCCAATGCCGTTATATTACAGTTAAAGGTTGGTGCCTATATATTCTCCGAAGCCTATGTAGACATGTCTTGTATATCCTTTATCTCAGCATTGGAAGGGGCACTTCCTCTATACCAGGATATTAATCGATTGTATGAATGCCCTCGGACGGTTTCGAGGGACACCAAACTGTTCAGAGGAGGAGTTCCAGATTCCATTCATCAGTATTGAGGTCTCAAGATCTCGCAATATGTACATTTGTATATTCAGTTGGCTTATGCACAGCAAGTTTCGAATCAAAGAGTGTCTCCCTATTCCTCCAACATCCGCCTTCACAACCTTGTAGCCATTCTCAATCTCATATATACTCGTCGTTCCCAACCCTCATCCTCCCCTTGCATCAAGATCTCACTTCAGACATCCATCGTCTCTTTTGGTTATGTTCAAGCGCTTACTGGGCGCTGTTGCCGTTGTTACCGATCAGGTTGGGGGAGCTGCGGAGGTTGCCACTGATCTTGCCAGAAGTAGCAGTGCTGGTGAGCCAGTTGGTGACACCAGAGACGCCGGAGACACCGTTGACAGAGATTCCGTAGAGGACAAGGCCAGCAATGTGGGGAGTAGCCATGGAGGTACCGCTGATGCTGTTGGTGGCGCTGTTGCTGGTGTACCAGGCAGAGAGAACGGCAGAACCGGGAGCAAAGATGTCAAGGACTGTACCGTAGTTGGAGTAAGAGGCAATCGTCCAGCTGCTGTCGATAGCACCGACGGTGATAGCGCTGGCAGCAGAGGCAGGAGAAGTGTTGGCGGCGTTGGCACCATCGTTTCCAGCAGCAATGGCAGAGATGATACCAGATCGGGAAGCAGAGTCGATAGCGTTGTTGAAAGAAGCAGAGTAGCCACCACCGAGAGACAGGTTCACGACAGAGCGGGCAGTTCGGCTCTTGGAGATGATGTCGTTGGCGGCCCAGTTGAAACCAGCCAGAATGATAGAGGTGCTAGAAGAGCTGCCCTGGAAGACCTTGACAGCCTGGATGGTGGCTTTCTTGGAGACACCGTAGGTCTTACCGGCAATGGTGCCAGAGACGTGAGTACCGTGGCCAACGGAATCGGCATTGTCGCCACTGAAGGCAGTGTAGACGGCCTGAGCACGACCCTCAAATTCATTGTGGGTGGTTCGAACACCAGTGTCGACAACGTAGGCATATGTGTTGGTACCAGCATTGGTATCGTAGATGTAGCTGGTAGATCCACTGGAACGGTGAGAGACCGTGCCGAGTCCCCAAGGGGCGCCACTCTGAGTAGTCAAGGCACGCTTTGCGAGAGTCTCTTCCTCTTCCTCCTCCTCGACCCAGTTGATGACCCACTCGCGGTCCTCTTCGACGATAGCAACCTGGACTAGATATCAGAATTGGATAGTTCATTCAGATTCGGTGTCACTTACATCGGGATTCTCCTTGATCTCCTTGATGGTGCTCTTGTCGAAAGAACCAGCATAGCCGTGGAAGCCATACTTACCGTTGTAGGTGCGCTCAACACCCTTCTCGGCACGCTTGTTCAGTCCACGCTTGTGAACATCCTCAACCCAGTTGAGATGGCTCTCGACATCGGCAGCAGCGATATCAGACTTGAGGGTGACGATGTACTTGCCAGGAATGATCTTGCTAGAGTCAACCTTGGCAGTAGTAGGAGCGGCGTTGACGAGTCCGAAGAGGGTGGTCGCGGCGAAAGCGAGGTTCTTGAAGTTCACCATTGTGACGATCCAAAGAAGCAGAGACAGTAGAAGAGATGATTGGGGATGCTTGTGTGTTGATGAGGTTGAGGGTGATGATGAGAAGGAAAGTTGTTTTGAGGAGGAGAACAGTCCGTCTTATATAGAGGTGGTCTATGTTGCTAGGCGACTGCGTCCATAACAATATGGATGAGCTGATACAGGGTTCGTGTTTTGAGATCATGAAGTCACCTCTGCCAGCCATTCGCAGCCATGATACATGGTAATGTTAGCTGTTATTGTGGAGGCAGAAGTATATTGAACGGTTCGTGGAGAGAGACTTTGCTCTTCGGTGCCTCCCCTGAAGTCAAAAGCTCAACAGCTGGAGATTCCCACCCCAACTTACAGAGTGCAGGGTTTGTAAGGTGCAAACCTGCAAGTGTCTTGCATCTATCCTCAGACATGATACCGCGTCAAGACACAATCGAAGGGATGGTTTTCATCAGCTTCCTCTTGCGGCGAAAACCGGAAGATTTACGTAGCGTCTCGCCATCGTCTTCAGCAACGCCAGACAAAAAGAGGAAGGCGAAATGTGATGCATCGAGGCGGCAGAAGTTCTGAGAGGCGATTCAGGATAGCGAGAGTGCAAAAGTTCTCGAGAATGCAAGCAGCAGGTCAGTGGGCCTGGAATCAAACCCGAGGTGGATGCATGGGACCTTTCATCGCAACAAATACCTTGATGATAAAGAGCACCAAGATATCGTGATGGGTCTCAGTGGACGCCCTGAACACATCCGGCTTGTCTCACGAAATGACGAATAACAATACGTTGACGGAGTTCGATTGCATGTGATGAGACGAGACGAGACGTGAGGAATAGCGAAGTTGCCATCAATAACCTAGGCTATAGTTGGGTGTATTCAGGATCTGCTCAATGGACCTCCCTGTCGTCAATCATGATCGACATGGCACTAAGGAAACAAACCCCCAAGAGGTACCTCTAAAAGACCAACCGCATGGTCTCTGTCTAGCCTCATATCTCGATCTTGGCAGTGACTGCCGGTATCCAGAACTACTGGAGCCGATAATGGGGAGCGGCCTGAGGAGGTAGGCAAATGCCTTCTAGTCCTTGATTGGAGGCTGGAAACAGGAACATAGCCAGTCGGAATCATGGACCGGCCCGTAAAAGATGCATAAACCCTAGTTCGAGGCGTTTATCGTCAGAGGCTTGGTGAGTTGATAGTCGAAGGAAGTCGAGCGGGAAGTTAGTGAACTGCCCGATAAAGCAATTATGCTTCTCCGCAACTCCAGCATAGCCAAAGCAGGCTAGACATTGCCCCTTGATGACTTAGCCTTACCGATGACAACAGCCGTGCGGGAAGGGTCTCACACCAAGACCTATTCTGCACCTTGGGCAGGATTTCCAGTCGTAGTTGAGCATCAAATCAACTTCCTCTTTGGGACACTATGTCCGAGTAGGTGCGTATCGTTGCCGCCGCTGGCCTCGCAGGACAAGACAACAATTCGAATGCCCATTTTCGCTGAAGGCTGATATAGTGAGGCTAAGTTGTAGGAGAAACACCCTTGCTTAGCCTCATAATTCTCTGTCTCGAGGCTCACGGGAGGATGAGAAGGAGGGCAGCGTGATTCGATGTGAGGGGTTGGAGTGCACTCCTTGCGAAAGTCTTAGATGATCTATATCGATTGTCTCAAACATTGCAATGGTGACATCGAGATGGTGACGAGATTAGAACGTGGTAATTGGTATCCCTGCTTATAGAATCTGTCGTAATCCGCATTCCATCGAGTTTGTGTTTGTTGGCGGATAGATATCCATGTAGGTAATGTAAAGTCGAGGTTTCTCTTGTAGTGTCCTCGTGGAGTGGATAATAGAGGGGCCGGAGATGCCACGGGCAAGAGCCAACGGTAGGGAGGTAGATCAGCCAATGAGAAGTAACGGAAAGAGTAGACGGGTTGTTGGTTCTTTCCCGTCTTACCTGTCTTGAGAGATAAGATTTGTGGCTTGGACCCAGCAGACGCTTTGACGCACCCCAGAAGTCTAACTTACAACATCATCATCACCATCAAGGCACATTTGATCAAGTGTGAGGCCAAGACACTTCACTTCAACCCCTGGAGAAACACGGAGATTTTCACTATCCGTTAGCGCCTTCCTTCCCGTGTCAGTTTAATTCTAACCATAATTCTATTCTATTCTATTCTATCAAAGCCTGATACAGGGTGCTGATTTTGAGTCCCTTTTAGGTACCTTGCCCAACCTTGGCCAAGGCCAACCTCAGTAACGAATGGACCCCGCTCTATCTTCGCATCTCATGACCCTTGTTCCTTTCATCCATGCATCCGACTAATCAATCAATTAACCCTTATCAGTACCGCATGATGCTATTAGAACAAAAGTACCTGTCATGTTCTTGGATACCTATTCTAATGTGTTGCATTAGGTTATCGGTCCGCCAAGACCTACGTATCATTCTTGTTCTATACCGAACAAAACTCCGACTCCAAGCAATCCAACCTATTCGTGGAAACTATCCGACAGCACTCGCACGCAATCTTCTACATCGTTCGCTTATGGCCAAGGAACTTTTTGACTGGTCTAGCGATGTTTTGAGTCAGGAGACGCCGACAACCCTGGTCGCTCTCGATAGCTTAGGAAGACCAGCAATTGGCTGCCATCATCGATACCCTGCTTCGAGCCTTTTCAGTAACTGCTCAAGGCATACACAGTCAGGCTGTTTAGCGTATCTGTTTATTCCTCCGTGACCACGCCGCACGATCGCCACGGCCCGCCGGAATCCTCCTAACGAAGGGTTACTATTGTTGCGAGGCTCAGGAACATCAGCGAGAGCTGAACTCGATCTCACGGCTACGAACCGAAGCTGACTCTCGCCAGCATCCCAAAAAGCGAGAGCAGGTCACGCTGCTTTGACATTTAAGCATCTATTAAACTTTGCCTTATTACCAAGTGGTGTCCTTTTGCCCTGGACTAGTCTAAACTCAACTCATGGCTCAAACTTGATGCCGCAAGGTCGCATCCGATTTAACCACAATAGTCCGTATACAATATGGCACCTCTCTCCCTCTGGATGAGATCATCGATGGGGTTTGCCCGCGTCCTGTACCCTGAGGACCCTTGTCGCCGTTGAATCGACGGGTGTCGCCATTACATGAGATCTTGCCGCTAGGAGGACCTACCACAAAAGTACTTACGACCTTGATTACTTGAGCTCCTTCCTAGCTGGTCACTATAGTCTTCGAACGAGAGCGATGTCGCGATAAGGATGCCATCTTGTTCAACATCGTCAGCAGGGAAAAGTCGCCATGCGAGCCACCTCAAGTCCATCCCACGCAGCTTGAGGTTACAGACTCCAACAAAGGTTCCCAAATCCTGGAAAAGATCAGGCCTCCTAACATAGATAGGCGCCCCGGTTAGCCACCTATATGTGCCTTAAGCCTTTGAGGCAACCTGAGCAGTAGCGGTGATATCCAATCACGCAAGGCACGAGGCTTCCAAGACTTCTAGATTACCCTCGCCTTTCTACGAAGGGTGTTCTGCACACACCATTTTGAGTTAATGATCTTCGAAAACGTTCATGCATCTTCTTCCATCAATACATCCTTCTCGCTCTTCGTTCTTCTTCGACTAATCACTTACGACTGTTCATAACAAGAAGTTGCTTCTGCTACCTTCCTGTTTACACCATCATCGCCGAGATAATGCATCAGCAGGATACAGCGCGACAGTTCAATTTCGAACCAGCTCTGTTAGATGGTATCTGGTTACGCCGGAACGTCAGGGGCCCGACGTTTGGTCGATTTTCCCTGACCACAAGCAAGCTTCAGAGGTTTTCTTTTCACAGTCTCTACCATAACAATCCCCCTTTGTTCAGTGATAGAGCGTATCATAACTCAACACGGAATGGTAAGAAAACAGGTATTTTCAACCTGTTTAAGGCTATGTAAACCTCCGAGATCGTAACCCTTGGGGCCGCGGTTAGCTTCCTTGTTGTCCAGTTCGTTTTGGTCTCAGTCTTGGCCGTACCATCAAGGTGCTTGGATAAGGCGGTCGATATGTTTTGATTGACCCTGAACATTCGCTCATAGCCTACAGCCTTTGTTTCTGGCAAGTGAATTTGATTCAAACTCTGCTTGGAAAGTAGATATTGGGGATAGAGCCGACACATCCGCGATAACTTAGGGAAACATGGCCACTTTGTGGAGTAGTCATGCTTAACCTATCTAAGATGAAGCGAAATTCAACATTCTAGTTCTAACTTCGAGATTAGCTCTTAATTAGCACATCTAATACTGATTCAAAATTAGAGCCCCAGTACGGAAGGTCTTCAACTTCAGTATTAGATCCAGGTATAGAGATGCAGTCCACCCCCTTGCCTTTGAAGATAGAGTTCTTAGGTTATGTCCATGACGCCAAATCATCAACGCAGCTTTGCTGATTATTTTACACGGACCTTGCATAAGGCATTGATACGTTGTTATCTTGCCAACGCGGCATGTGGTAGCCAAGGCAGTGTGTTCTCGTATTGCTCCGCAAAATGCCAGCTGCACCACGGGATATACTGCTTCGTATGATCAGGGGCCCTCCACATACACAGTCATCGTCTTTGATCATGCATGTTGCGTGTTTATTGCGAAAGCAACACCTGAGACTTGCTCACACTCTCATCAAGCACCCACTCTTGTCTCTCAAGCTCATCAGGCAAAAATTCCCCCTTACCGATATCGATACTTGCCCCGAATACTCAAAGCCAGGGGGTTCAAGAGAAAGGAGAAGACATCTGAAATTGACCATGCGGGCTTTGTCGACCTTCAGCGACACTGTCTCCTGAGGCGCATCTGTTGCGTCGAAGTACTCCTAGAGACACCACTCATGATCCAACTCTTCGTTATGCTGCTTTATTATGTTTCTTAATGTGTGAGCACCGTTGGTCTCAACTGCCGGGCAAACAATTGCTGGTCAGTAGTGCCGTTCTCTTGTGGTGTAAGAGTAGCAGCCCCTATTGGTCCCCATATAAGAGGAGCAGGCACCTCACATTGTAAAGGATATGCATTGTCAGCTCAGCGCGTTGGTAGTTGCATTGACACTGAAACATTAAGGCTTTGTCAGAGATAACCTTAATTCAACTACCTGAAGCTGACATAGACGTACAGACATTTGCCGACTCCTTTCCCATCAGTCTCCCTGAGCGATCACATCGGACAAGCACTCGGTTCCTTATTCCCATCAGTCTGTCTACCATCGACCTTTGTCGGAGCCCCTTCAGGCATAGGGATACCCGGAACATCCTTGAAAACCGCAAAACTCGACGGTGTCTCCTCCAACACTGGGAAGTGAAACCCACACTGCGGACACTGTTCATGAAGGACAGCCTGCTCCTCTGCGAGATTGTACTTCTTATCCTGAGTGAGGTTACAAACAGGACAAGCGCGAAGAAGTCTCGTTCCGACCAAGCTCAAAATTGGTGATGATGTCCTCCATAATAGCCCCGTTGGCTGCCCACTCCTTGCAGTATTTATGGTAGGTGTTCTTGTGCCAGTCGTAGAGAGCACCACGACTAGTCCAGAAACTGCATTCGTTATACCAGCTTCTGTCGTCAGGATGTTCCCACCAGGTGAGATGCAGAAAGCCTGGGAGCGTCATGAGATGGCGGCGTGTGTCGGCGAAGAGAACCTTGAGCTTCTCATAAGCATCTGGGCTGGAGAAGCGGACTCTTTGCATGCTCAGATAGATAGGCATGATGGTGGTATAATATTTAGCGTCTTGGGTAGATGATATGCTATAATTTCAAGCCTCTTTCAAGATTTTAGACCGGAATGATATAGGACTGGGTACAAATTATGCTGTGGTTGAAAGTAGCTGGCGAGAATCCAACCCATTCATACTGCTCACCCTCTCACTTTATACCTTCCACCAGCATCTGACCTCATTTGTGTTTTGATGTTGATAGTCACACAGGAACAGGCGGACAATTATTTCCATATCAAGAACATAATCGTCAAAGCATCTGAGACCATTGGCTTATCAAATACCCGGGGAAGCGGGGGTGATTAAGTTTCCTGATAAAGCTACGATAGCCAATATGGTTGCGTGGCAAACACAAGTTGGACGTTTTGTGTGGACAGCAGCTGGTGACTAAGTTAGCTCGTGGCTTGCAGCTGTAAGATCTTCATAACTTAAGCCAATGGCATCTTGCTGATTCGCATTGCTGAGACACTTGAGAGATCCAGACAGAAATCAACATCTCCTGAGAGTTGAGTTTAGTAATTACTATCGATTCACAACTTCATATTTCCGTTACATCGAAATCATCTCCTCCCTTAATCGTGGACCTGCATCCCCAAGTATTGTGTCTTCAGTACTGTATTCTTCTTGGCACCTGTGACCCCAATCTTGACAACCTCACCGGGGACGATATCAACTAGATTGTCGTCAAACTTGACTTCGTCGTCGTCGCTTACAACTGCTAGTCCCTTGATAGGCACCTCGGCACTGACTTCGACGGACTTACATCCTTCAGAAATTTCAGCTTTGAGGTTTTTAGGGTTCTGGAAGTGAAGGTATTTCAAAGGCTCGGGCCAGTTGACGTATCTTGCAATCTGCTTGCCATCCTGATAGAAGTAAGCTGCAACAACGGTCTTCGCCTCGAGATCAGCGTTGGGCTTCTCAACGGGGACATCCAGGGTCTTGATTTCTGTCGAGCGGTTACTCTGGAGAACCAGATCAGAAACGACTGTCTGGGAGTATGTTTCCTTCCCAGTCTCAACGTCCCAGGCCTTAACAACACAGTCTACAGTAACGTCTTCCAAGTTGAGGTTACTTCCCCAGATCTCAACCTTGACCTTAGTCTCAATATCGACCCTTGTGTATTTGTTCTTGGGGTGCTTGTGCTCTCTGCGTGTCATGCCAATAGTGATAGGTGCCATCTCCCGCTTGATGGTAAAGTAGGAATGCTTGGGTCGGAGGTAGTAGTCACAGATGGCCCAAGAAGTGACTGGCCAGCAGTCGTTGGTCTGCCAAACCAAGACACCACTGCAATATTCCTTCTTAGGCCCCTGCCACTGTCGCTTCCAAAGCCGATAGGCGGAGGCTAGGGCCTCTGCCTGTAGCAGTTGGCTGTAGTAGACGTAGTCCTCCAAGGGTTCAAGAGTGAAACGAAAGTTTTCGGCCATGTAAAGACCCAATCGACGTAGTTGTCCGTCGGCTTTGTTGTGGAAGTCAATCGTAGAGGATGTTGAGAACCGCTCGGGGTCATCTTTGCCCTTTGGCAGGAAGGCATCAATGGTCTTGATGTCTGGGAAACCTTCCATACCGAACTCGGAAACAAATCTACCAACAAGCTTGTCGTAGTCTTGGTACTTTTGCTGAGAACCGTGCCAAACATTCCATTGATGGATATCTCCGATAGTTGGATCAGTGGTCACCTTTCCACCCCAAGGGCTGGCAATATGGTAGACAGCATTCGGATGAAGATCTTTGCAGGCGTCTGGGAGTAGCTTTTCGTAGATGTAACGGGCAGGGAAATCGGTCTTCAACCAGCTCTCTGGGTCGTGATCGTCGAAGTCATATGTAAGATTTTCGGACTCACGCAGTTGGTAGTCCTCGTTGTTGCCAGCCCAGAGAATAATTGATGGATGGTGACGAAGTCGCTTGATATTGGCTCGAGCTTCTCGGTCGATGGATTTCAGTAGCTCGGGCCAGGCGGGATAGTTTCCACAAGCGAACATGAAATCTTGCCAAACAAGGATACCAAATTCATCGCAGGCATCGTAGAAGACGTCTTCTTCATAGATACCACCTCCCCAAACTCGGAGCATAAACTGGTTGCCTTCAGCGACGAGCTTGACCCAGTCTCGGTATCTCTCTTTGGAAATTCGAGGAATGAAGTTATCTGCTGGAATCCAGTTGCTCCCACCACAGAAGATCGGGACGTTGTTGACTTGGAAAAAGAAGCTGGTGCCGGGCTGCCCATCAAGCTCTCGTTCAACAAGTTCAAGTTTGCGGAGGCCGATCCTCTTGGAGATTGAATCTATCTCATTTTCGTCATCAAGAAGCGTGGCCTTGATGGTATACAAGGGTTGTTTTCCATATCTGACTGGATACCAGAGAGCTGGATCTTGGATGTGGAACGTAGTGGTTGCGTCTTTGTCCTTTACATGTGCGGTTTCAGATGCAACCTTCTTTCCATCTAAAGAGACTTCAAAACGAACTTTTGAGGTTTTGCCTTCAACAGCCGCATGAACAACAACATCTGCCTTCTTGAGGGACTTCTCAACTTCAGATTCGGTGTAGAGATCTACGATGTGAGACTCATAAACTTCGATGTTGATAGGTCTCCAAGGACCACATGTGAGCATAGCAGGTCCCCAATCCCAGCCCTGAGAATGGTTAGTTGGATACTATAAAAGCACCACAGGTGGAATGACTTACCCAGTGGTACTGTGCCTTTCTGACAGGCAGTCTTGAGCCATCTCCATTCCAGACAACATACTTGTGGTCAGGATGCTCTTCCACTAACTTCCATCCTCTCAAATACGCCGCATCAAAGGTGACGCGGAGCTCATTCTCGCCATCCTTTTTAAGATTCTTTGTGACATCGACCCGTTCAGGAACAAACATGTTCTCAGTCTCAAGAATTTTTTCGCCATTCAACTCAACCGTGGCAAAGGTATCAAGGCCATCAAAAGCCAAAACCGCCTTTGCACCATTATGAATCTCCGGGCTAGAAAAGGTGGTCTTGTAGATCCAGACAGTCTCTCCGATCCATTGAACTTTGAGCTCGTTCTTCCCAATGTATGGATCGGGGATCTTCTTGTGATGTAAGAGATCAAGATGAACGTTTGTTGGGAATTGAGCGACTGGTAAATAAGAGGAGTCGTCTTCTTTCTCCTGCTTGAATTGCCAGTTCTTATTGATTGGGGTAACAGTGCGGGGAGCCATGGCGGAAAGGGTCTCAGTGAAGCTATGATTCTGCACGTTGTGAAAGAAATCAATTTAGGGGTTCATGAAAGAGTGAAGTTGAAGAATTGAGGGATGAAAGAGTAAGGAATAGATTGATTGACGACCCGACGTTTTTGACATGGAAGGAACGATGGCTTTAACCGGGCAATTTGCCAGGGCAGGTGCAAGTCATGATGACCCCGCGATGCACAAATGCCTCCAGGTACGGTACAATCCTCGTAAGACATCCGATTCATTTCACTCAATCTCAATGGTCAGTTGATGAGCAATAACATGACATTTCGACATTTACACAACAGGAGAGGTTCCGTATGTGCTTCTACGGCACGTCGGCCCGTCACACCAATAAGCGCCAACTCCAATTCATCCAGCCAAGCTGAATTCCATCCGATGAATGGTGGAATTTCAACTCCGCAAGTAGTTGTGAGCGGGTAGAGACGCGTTTACATGCGAGACTCATATTTACTTATGAATTTGACGTCAATTGTTTATACAACATCGATATTAGGCCATTTATATGCCAATGTCTGGCATAGATGGTGTTGACCTCTACTATTTGCTTCTGAAGAACTGAGTGACTATTACTCTTCTTAATTAATTATGTCGACATATGATATCTCCCGAAAATCTTCAAGAAACAGCTGTCATTACTATGTACATTATTCGGACTCAAGTACAGCTCGCGAACTCGCTGCGTTGTGTGCAGTCCGCAGCTTCATATCGTCTATCCAAACGCCAAACACGCTGATGAACGAATGTCTTCCTAAACAATACCGGTCCAACCATGCAACCGGAACTCTTCAAACACTGCCTATCCATTACCGAGAGCTCCGAGCGGAAAGAAGGGGTAAAATGTAATTTGAACAATTAACAACAACCGCCTCCTCTCCGCCGATTGCTCAGCGTAAATACCTCTTCCCACTCCCGTAGTCCCCAGTTTTGCGTCCTATTCTTTTTCCTCCTCCTTCTCAGTCCGCTATGTCCATCGTCCACAGTGGCACCCGTCATAGAACTCTTGATACTGCCTCCGTCACTAGCTGTGTTCCACCCACCGCTGTCTCCATACTGGATCCCACTCGCTGGGTCATCGGGATCAATCTCTCCCAATTCAATCTTTGTGAGAATTATTCTTGCTAGTCTTTCGAAGATTTCGTCAACGCCCTCGCCGTTGAATGCGCTCGCTTCCGTCACCACTGATATTCCTGCTGTGCTAGCCCATCGACTGGATTCCGCTCGCGTGACTTCTCTACCTTCTGGTGCGACCGTTGCTCTTTGTTGACTTCCTGCACTTATGGATGCTCCGCGATCTCTAGTCGTGGCCGTGCTTGTATAAGAGCTACCTCCAGCGCCGAGCATACCAGATGTCAGTGTTGAGTTGGATGTGACGCTCGTTGGTGTTGGGGGCGGAAGACTTGTGTCGACGAGTGTATCGGTAAGATCGAGTTTGTTGCCCACGAGCATGAGGCTTAGGTTCGGAGATGCAAGCGCTCGAGCATCATTTAGGAAAGGCTGGAGGTTTCGGAAGGATGCATGAGAGGTAAGGTCGTAGACGAGGATAGCGCCCGCAGCGCCTCGGTAATAGGAGCGAGAGACTGATCGAAAACGTTCTGTTCCAGCTGTATCCCAAAGCTAGATCCTGTTAACGTGCTTTCTTTGTTATCGCGCGATCGTGTGGTATACCTGAAGCTTTACCCGTTTTCGCCTTGATCCGGTGCCAACTTTGATGATTTTTGTAGCAAACTCCACGCCGATGGTTTGCGACGACAAGACTCTCCATTCATTCTTGACAAAACGATGTAGTAGGCATGACCTATAAAAGCGCGAAACAGTCAGTCAAAGACTCTGGTGTAGGAGCGCGGCTGTCGCGAAAGAAAGTCCGAGTTGCTCGCAAAATGTCTCGATAATGACGTACTTTCCAGTTCCGCTGGGCCCAAGCAATATAATCTTGGCCAGGTAATCATACATGCTCCCTAGCTCCTTATCATGGTCAGCCGCTTGGTAACGCGTCGACAACGATGTTCCTCTCGCCTACCTGCTCCCGAGCCGTACCCGAGCTATCCTCGCTCGCGCCGGAGTGCTGGCGAGGCCTGGTCATTGCGGGCAAATGACGAGATGGCGGAAAATAATGGCTGATATGTTTTAGGCGGTCGGATGATATCGCATGTCTTGGCTTTCGGTTGGGTTATCGCGGTAGGTATGTAGGAAGGGAAGTCGGGTATGTAGAGAGTTGTTGTCGGATGTAGGATATAGAGGAGGAGTATGACGTTCTTGTTCTTGTTTTTGTAGTTGTTAAAATTAACAAGAAAAGACGATGCAATGCGATCAATCCCTGGGCATGGATGGAATGGATGTTTGAGAGCGAGGGTGGGTCGCCCTGTAAACCTGTAGCTGGAGTCCTCAAACTGTAACAGGAGATAGCGTCATTAGGTGATGATAACGTGACGATGTATCCGTAAATGGGAGCCCGATAACACCGCCTGAGCTTGAGTGGATCGTTGTTACTGCTTGAATTCTTGGAATTAGATAATTGGCTACAGATAAACAGATTTGCCGATCGGTAGAGATGCGAAATCTGGGGTTTCGGGACATAAAATCTCTGATTTTCTACTGATATGGATGGAGACTGATTCACATCCATGTGCGCCCTCACCTGGGTCTTTGTTTCCGACTTGCAGTGCATCCTGTCTTCATAATATTACTTGGCATTTGTCTCAGAGATTCAGTGTCGTTATAACCCTGAAGTTACGAATTGAAACACAGAGTATAAGAATAGAATCGTGTTTTGCCATTCAGCTGACATTTGCACTATTCCGGGTAAATAAGCTTATTACGTATAGAAAGACTAAGATAGTCACACACAATTTTTAGCTGTCTGACCTAGGTAAAAAAGAGAAGCTGGCAGTAAGTCAACATCCTCTTACAACTACAAATATTGTATACTTTAGGCCAGCCGTAGAACACAGATATACAGTCTCCTCCAATGTTTACTCTGTACGTGGCTTTGTTTGCCGTCGATGTAGGACCTAATGCAAGGATTGAGGACTCATTGATTCATTGGCTTTTTAAAATGATAGCCATAGGCCGATCTGCGGCCAGTTTGAGTCACCAAGCATGGGTATACATAAAAGCCCCCTCCCGCAATTTTCTCTCACAACAGAGTCAAGCAAAGCAGACAACATCAGCTAGCAGCACAACACATAGATCAGACCCGGCAAAATCTTGATGCTAAAACAGACACAATGCAGTCAGCCAACAACCCCATCTCCCACCATACCAGCCACACCATGGGCCAAGGTGCCGCCAGTAGCAACAGCGGCGACAATAGCTGCGGAGCGAATTGCGTGGATAACCATGTTAGCCATGCAATTGGCGATGGAGATGGGGTTGTCCGAGTCTCGGGTGGAGAGACTGGTAAGAGCCTATATGAAGTTTATGGATTCTAGCTAACTTAGCCTTACAGGAAACGATGGAGGCCTTGTCGTGGAAGCCTCCGTAACGGATGTTGGTGTCAACGATTTGAACCAAACTACTACAATCAACGATGAATCGGACGATGAAAGCTCTCTTGCGGACAGTTCCGGCTCCATTAGCGATGGGCCCAGCTTTGGAGGAACTTCGATCCGATCCCTCGGCAGCATGTCCAACTTCAGCATCATCGACACTACTCTGCGTGAGGGTGAGCAGTTCATCAATGGCAATTACGACACCGAAACCAAGCTCAAGATTGCTCGAGCTTTGGATGACATTGGTGTTGAATACGTGAGTCTGTTGAATAGCGAGAGGTCGATATCTCAACTAACACATGGGCCAGATCGAAGTGACTTCCCCTGCTGCGTCTCCTCGGTCCAAGTTGGACTGCGCGGCTATCTGCAAGCTGGGTCTCAAGGCCAAGGTTCTTTGCCATATTCGATGCAACATGGACGATGCCAGAATCGCAGTTGAAACCGGTGTTGATGGAATGTAAGTCGAATGAACCTCCGATGTAACTCTCCCATTCAACTAACACTCATCCGATAGCAACATGTGCATCGGCACTTCCACTCAGCTTATGGAGCATTCCCACGGAAAGGATCTCGATTGGATCGCCGCCAAGGCCAAGGAGGTCATCGAATTCACCCAAGCCCACGGCATCGAGGTCCGATTCTCTGGCGAAGACTCCTTCCGCTCCGACTTCAGTGAGATTCTGAAGCTCTACTCGCTCATGGACCGTCTCGGCGCCCACCGCGTTGGAATTGCCGACACCGTCGGTGGCGCGACTCCTCGTGAGGTCTTTGACAAGATCTCCACGCTCAAGCAGATGGTCGGATGTGATATCGAGACTCACTTCCACAATGATACTGGTTGTGCTGTCGCCAACGCTTACACTGCGATTGAGGCTGGGGCCACTCACATTGACACCACTGTTTTGGGCATTGGAGAGAGGAATGGAATTACTTCCCTTTCTAAGCTCTTGCATTGTATGCTTCAGATGGGTCATGATTCTGTTTTGACCAAGTACAAGCTTGAGAAGCTTCCTGCTCTTGAACAGCTTGTCGCCGAAGCTGTTGATATCGAGATCCCCTGGAACAACGCTTCACTTGCGGCATATCTCTGAATGTACTAAATCAGAGATCGCCTCGCAGGGCTAGAGCCAAACGGCTAAACTTACCTTTCTATTCTGCTAAACTTGGAGTGAGGAGTATCAAGTAGTACTCATATAGTGAATTGAAAAATCTCGTATAAGATAGTGCTGCCCCAGTGTGTTTAGGTTACCCTGCACCATCGTGTTGCAAGAGTGATTCGGTACGTTGGTCAACTTGAAGCTGAACCTTTTTTCATGAGAGAAACCAGTGTCATTATTCTATCCTTGATATTAAAAATTTCGATATGAGTACTGAAATAGTCTTATACTTACACGATGCTTTCAGGCATCCAATATCATGACTTAAAAGGAGCCGTCAAATGTGACAAGTTGCCGAGGCATGTTCGGGTCAGCCACCCCCGGATTCCCCACGTGTGCTTAAATCGCCGAGATGAATGACATACCCGGACCAGTTCGAAATTGATTCATTCCCTTTTCTTTTCAAAATTCTCATAATATATACACTCAACAACACATCATGAAGATCCAAGGCCGAACATTTGCCATCTCCGGAGGGTAGGTGCAATCATATCGAAAAACTCTTTCACATGTCGCTGACTTAGATACAGTGCTTCCGGCCTTGGCCAGGCATGCGTTGAAGATATATGCGCCAATGGCGGCAATGTGGCCATTCTTGACATGAATGAGGAGAATGGACAAGAACTAGTCAAGAAATTGGGTTCATCGGCTAAATTCTTCGAATGCAATGTGTTGGAAACAGAGAGCGTTACCAAGGCTGTCCAAGGTGCTGCACAATGGGCCAAAGAGACGGGGAAGCCTCTTGGAGGTGTGATTGCTGCAGCTGGTGTATCAACTCCTGCAACGGTAAGACTAGACTCTTCAAATTTGTGACTGAGTCGGTGAGACCGTAACTAACTGACTGACTTCATAGATGCTCGATCGTAATGGTGCTGCCTTCAGCCTTGATGACTTTGACTTTGTTATCAACGTCAATCTCCGCGGCACAATCGACCTCGTGCGTCAGACTCTCGAGCACCTTGCAAAGGTAGAGCCCGAGGGATCTGACGGCGAGCGAGGTGTTGTCATCATGGTAGCTTCATCAGCAGCCTTCGATGGTCAAAAGGGTCAAGTCTCTTATTCCGCCAGTAAAGGCGCCGTGACAGCCATGACACTTCCCATGGCACGAGATCTTGCTCGATATGGCATTCGAGTCGTGACCATTGCGCCTAGTCTGTTCGACAGCCGAATGACGAGTGTGATGCCCGAGAAGGTCAAGAAGAGTCTCGAGGGCGCGATGGAGTTTCCTAAGAGAGCTGGTCAACCCAAGGAGTTTGCGCAATTGGCGCGGCAGGGAATTGAGAATGTCATGTTGAATGGTGTTGTTATTAGGTTGGATGGTGCTATGAGAATGCCCAGCAAAATGTAAGATAGATCTTCATCCTGTGTTATTGAAAGTGGTCGGATTTGTCAGATTTGAAATATAGCAATAGATTGGTAATTTGAGTGATCATGTAATTCATTTTGGTTGTTAGACAAGCTTGGCTTTGCTCTGCCGAGAATAGTATCCGGGGGAGCTATTGCGAGATCGGATCGGCATCCGGCAGAGAACTTACCCACCTCGCGACATTCGTAATCAACGTCACAACCTCCGTTTAAAACTCTAGAATATCTTCATCAATAACACCTGAAAGGAGACTTCATAGCGGCTGCTTTAAAGACTCAACCCAATATCCCTTGCGCAGAAACAACAGCCTGGCACTGTGTCTATAATACAGCTACTTACACTGCCTACCTCTACATTTACCTCATAGGTACACCAACATAGCTGTATCATCATAACCACCGAACCATCTATAGCTCCGACAATGGCTCCAACCAAAGTGGCAATTCTGGACGACTACCAAGGGGTTGCTGATCCCTTCTTCAAGAAACTCGACCCATCCAAGTATGACGTCGTGTCTATCAAGGATACGTTGCTGCCTTACAACCACCCAGACAGCTCACAATCGAACAAGGATGCTCTTGTTGAGAGATTTAAGCCTTTTGATGTTATATGTAAGTAAAATGTCTTATTAGAAGGTCCGAGAATAAGCGGCTGATCAACTCAGGCACTATGAGGGAGCGTACGCCCTTCCCACGAGAGTTGATCGAGCAACTCCCTTCACTCAAGCTTCTCCTCACCACAGCTTTTCGCAACAGATCCCTGGACCTAGATTCCCTCAAAGAACGAGGGATCCCAGTTGCCGGAACAGTTGATAAGCCCCGTAGCAGCAAGCCGGTGCTCGCTGGCACGGGCAGCACCACTCAACACTGCGTCACTCTCATCCTCTCGCTCGCTCGAGGCATCGCCAGGGATGACGCCGCTGTCAAAGAGGGCCTGTGGCAAACCGGTCTCGCGACTGATCTCTCAGGAAAAAGTTTGGGTGTCCTCGGCCTCGGGAGATTGGGAAGCGCAGTCGCGAGGATTCTCAACGTCGCATTGGGTATGAAGATTATCGCATGGAGCAGCAACCTCACACAGGAGGCGGCAGATGAGAAGGCCAGGGAAGCTGGGCTTCCTGTTGAGGATGGGGAGGGTGAGAAGACGTTCAAAGTGGTAAGCCGAGATGAGTTCTTCAGAAACGCCGATGTGGTGTCTGTACACCTCGTCCTGTCTGATAGGACACGCGGCATAATCAACAAAGAGGACTTGGCAAAGATGAAGCCGACAGCCTTGTTTGTCAATACCTCTCGAGGTCCCCTCGTAGTGGAGAAAGATCTTCTTGACCACCTCAAGGCTGGCCGTATTAGGGGCGCAGCTGTTGATGTCTTTGAGCCGGAACCTCTCCCCGCTGACAGCGAGTGGCGCAACAAGAACTGGGGTCGCGATGGAACGAGTCAAGTTCTTGTCACCCCTCACATGGGCTATTGTGAGGAGGACACCATCAAGTCGTGGTATGAGCAACAGGTTGAGAACATCGAGCGATGGGCTGCCAACGAGCCGTTACACAATGTGTTCACCTAGGTATGATCGGCGAAAGAAAAAGACAAGGACAAGGCTTCTGGAAGATGCTTATGTGCAGGACCGAGTTTCATCTCAACGACAGAGGAAAAAGCAAATCTGAACAAACAATCACAAGTGCATATATCCATGACCTTGACTGTTCATCATGATAGGCTATATAGTCGAAACAATGGGAACGGATCCTTTGATATGCATGAGACTGCAGTTGTTGATCTGCACTTTGGGACGGGCCTACCCGTTGCATCCCCGATGATACGATGGCCCCGGATTTCTCAATATGCGTATGAATGTCTCTTTCGTTGAACTTACACCAAACTGAAGCCTTGGACCCACGGTGATAGTCGTGGATCAAATGACTTACATGCCCTTGGCTGTAGATCATGGCCCCATGAGTTCCCTGGTGGATTTACTCGATACAACCCCGTTCCTTCAGGCTGGAATGCATATCCTGATTCATATACTTGCAGAAGTGATGTGTTTTACGTGCATTGTGTTCATAGAAGAGGATCCGCAACGTTTCAGACCCTCAACTTCAGTGCCTATGTTGATCGCTGGTATATCCTCCAATGATGCTTGGTATCGTTATTGATATTTTGGGGTGAAATGACTATCACATAGTCCTGGCAACTATTTGCTGCGGGATATGTTTGACGCATGATTGAGACTCTTTGCCGCCATGTTTGGGCTCAGCAGACCTCTTTCGCAACCCTAATCTACATCCATCCTACAGCATCACAAGGCGGTTCTCGACCATGTCTTATCAAATGCCGAATTTCCACAAACATACAACATTACCAGTCGAGGCAGTAAAACCGCCAGATTACATATCTCACCGCTAAAGGCGTTCGAGAGGCGTGTCTTGTTAATATCAGCCTTAGGATCTTCAGCTGGTATCGGGAACGGCGGCGCGTCCCTTTCTGGCTGCATTTGAGACATTGAAGCCTCGAAATCGAAAACGTGACCTTCCAAGACTAGCTATTCTCGCTCCTATACGATTAAACTAAGCCTAGAAAAGATGATCTCAGCACAAGACAGATGTGATTCAAGCCTGTTCAGGAACATGGCTTTTTTTCGAGTCTTCTATTATTGATGTTAGTCGCTATGCTGGCCTCGTTTAATGGCGTGATGGTTCGGGGACGGCACGAAGCGGTAGATTATATCGTTCGCTTCAGGGACTATCGTGGATCTAGTGGTAATAGTATCCTTGGAGTTGCAGATTTGCACTAGGATTTTAGGGCAGGGATGCTGTTTCTGGAGTGTCGTGGCTATGGTGTTGGTGTTTCGGCCACTTATGGTGGAGCACACTCGGTTTATGGCTTGCTGAGAAGCAGCTGGAGAGACTGAATATGGATTGATACATATTTCCTGTCTTCTCTGTCAGATAACGGGTCCAAGTATCCTGTTGTTCCCCGCGCATACCCCCCTTGTCTCTAAACGGGACAGTTGCATCACGACCTCTACAAGGGTCAACGGTGTAGGCTCTGTAAGCTTGGTGGACCTTTGAGCCCTTGTCTGATGGGGATTGTGATTGAATCTGCATGCCGAAAACAAAGGACTCTTTTGGAAACTCGATTCTCTGGGTCCTTTTATTGTCTCCCACTTTTTTCACTGAATCAATCTCTCTGAGTCGAGTTTCAATGACATTTCATTCCGATGCAAGAAAGCGGAATAGACTCAGCCAATAGAGTTGATAAAAATAATCGCAAAAGGTTACGTCGCTTAATTGGTTTGAAGTTAATTTTGCAGAGACACAACACTCTTAGTTTACAAACTCAAAGCCTTCAGCGCCATGAGAGATGTTGCTAGCTTCAACGGACCAAGGTGTCATAGACGCTACATCTCATCAAGCAACTAAGCATATGGCCGTTGAATAGAGTCAAACGGCACAAGAAGGGGAATCTCATTGATGACTTGATGGCACCTAACTAGAGCACGCCCGCCCGTTGAATCTCAAAGGTACTTGCCGTTGACAGCCATGGATGATCCTGGTTCATTCATACTGTGGTGTATGTGGATGTCTTCGGCATGCGGGGATAAGCGAGTGAGATCAACTGAAGCGAGCTGAAGAGACAGATGAAACTTTCCTCTCCCCCTCTGGAACTAACCCTTCCAAGCTTTGCTTGTCCGAGACAGACCCGTCAGCGACATTCTCCCTCTGGTGCAAATGGCCAACTTACACGAGAAAACTTGAACCTTGTCCACATGTCATGAGAGCTTTCAGCTTCAGTACCTTTACGCTTTACCCTTAGTGATCTAGTCTTCGGATGTCTCGTCTCGATATTTCATCCTCACCAGCTGAGGAAGGTTAATACGGTAATAGTCGCCTTTTTTCCTTTATGTGTGCGGGTACACCTCGAAAAAACGCCATCTACGACTAAAGTCAATGTGCCTTGTGTGCTGACCTATGAACATCATCATTGAAAGAATACCAATCGGTTTTTGATACTGTGGTAAGCAAATAGTGTACCCGATGATCAACATGATGCTTTTATGCTTGCTCCTCAAAGCCACTGTAACTATATCCTAGACAGCATCATGTTGGGCGGACAGACATGACAAAAGGTCCTCGTTCAGATAATCCAGGAACCTTGTCTGTGAAGGACAAGCAATCACAAAGAAAGGCTATCCCCGTAGCGTAACCCGAGTTACACTTCTCCTCTCTTGGGAGTATCAATATCAGAGTCAGACTCCATTCCGTGTCGCTTGTACCGTACCCTACCTTACCCTGCCGATGTGATGCCCACCCCCGACGAGAGCTGAGATGCAGATGCGGCTACTACACTCAGAGACGACGCCACTTGAACCGTTTGGTCTGAGGTGTGGTTCGATTGAGGATATCATTGATCGGAAGTTATGCCGTTCCCTCTTGCTCTTGCCTGCTCTTCTCGATATAAAATCCCCGAGTACGCCATTGAAGAAACTCTCTTTTGTCAGGTCCATTAGCATCAGTATCCATCTCATCTCACCATTCCTGAGCATCCTACTCTTCTCCCTTCCCTACCATACACACATCACCACAAACCACTTGGAAATCAAGTCACAATGGTTCGATTCACTCGTGCCGACACGGGCATGTCTGACTTGCCCACTGAGGAAGCCGTAGCGGATCGCAAAGCAGGCAGTCCCATCCCCAACCGCGTGAGAAACGCCATCGTCATCGTCCTCGGGGAATTCTGCGGAACCTTCATGTTTCTTCTTCTCTCCTTCATCGGTGCCCAAACTGCCCTCGTTACTAATAACCCTACCAATTCTACTGCCCCCTTGGAGCCCTTCTCGTTGATGTACATTGCTGCCTCTTTCGGTACTGCTCTCGCCGTCAATGTCTGGATCTTTTATCGTGTTAGTGGTGGCATGTTCAACCCGGCTGTAAGTGACACTCGTACCAACTTGTTTGATTGACTCACATGCTCATTCTTTTTTCTTCTTTAGGTGACTCTCGGTCTGGTCCTCGTCGGTGCTGTACCACCTCTTCATGCCCTTGCTATTATTCCTACACAACTCGTTGCCGCTATCGCCGCCGCGGGAGTTACCGACGGTCTCATCCCCGGACCTCTCCTTGTCACAAATGCTCTCGGCAATGGTACGAGCATTGCTCAGGGTGTTTTCATCGAGATGTTCCTCACTGCCCAACTTGTCTTGACTGTTTACTTCCTTGCCGTTGAGAAGCACCGCAGCACACATCTTGCCCCCATCGGCATTGGTATCTCTGTCTTCATTGCTCACATCTGTGGGACAAACTGGACTGGCACATCCATCAACCCTGCTCGATCCTTTGGTCCTTCTGTCATCGCTGGTTTCCATGGGTACGATTGGATCTACTACCTTGGTCCTTTTATGGGTTCTCTCCTGGCCTTCGGATGCTACAAGATCTTTAAGGTGCTCGAATATCAGACCGCCAACCCTGGCCAGGACGATGATGATTTGGAGCGGGGCAGCAAACATCACTTCTTCCATCATCACGAGAAGGAGCCCATCTCTCACTCCCAGACCGACACTCTTGAGCCCAAGGATCACGGCCTTCCCCCGCGAAACGATAGCGTCATTGATGGTCAGATGAGCCATGCCTAAGTTGTTTCCGACGATCGGGGCTGCTCAAATCACATGTCCAGCACTGGCTGTATGACTGTTGAGTAGTACAAGATTATGAGTTCCGTTACATTCTGTCATGTAACAGCGGGCTCTAACACAAGGCTGGATCTATGTGTTGAACCATTCACTACTACATCGCATCAGTGTATGTAACACGACGATGTCTTTCTAATGGGTGTTTTTGGGAAAGGAATGGAGGGGAAATTGGAGTATACGAGGAGGATGCATGATTAAATGAGGACTTTTAGCATGAGTTTCGGAGTACATGCAGTTTCAATAAGACATCTGGGCTTCCTAAGTGTAGTGCAGCTCAGTCACCCCGATTATCTTCAAAGTCGTTCCACTCATCGTCGTCTTTGGCCGTCAATCCCATCGCCTCTTCCTCCTCAGGGCTCCTAAGGTTCTTCACCCGCATACAAGCCTGGAAACCAACAAAGGCAGCCCAAAACGGCAGTGGGATAAAGGTTATAACACCCCCGATGTAAACGATATAAGCAACAAATCCAAGGTAGGATTGAATGAAACCCAGAGTTCTGTTGATGGGTCCTCCGCCAATGAGGTCTGTGAAGACCAAGCCGCTGATGAGCAAGACACCAAAGATCCAGACGATGCTCAAGACCGGGAGAACCATAGCCCAGTCTCTCGTTTCATAGAAGAACTTGTGGAAACGTTTGGTCCATGGTGCCAGAATGGGTATGTAAGATGCTGTAGTAAAAAGGAGAAACAGCTCAAATGTGAAAGGGATAAGCAGAAGAAGGATGAGCATTGGGCTGGAGGTGAATGAGTCCACGAGAACCTGGTGTGTTTCTGCGATTAAGAGGAAGCCAAATTGGAACGACCATAGGCCATAGGCCGTGGTCTTGAAGAGAGATCTTTCTGTTGACATTGTGTGCTTATGTTGCGATGAAATTGAGAGGTTGTTAATTTGAAGTTGACGCAGGGGTAAGGCGAGCGCTGATCACTGATTACTGTGCCCCGCTGTGCCGCTTGATGGATGATCCTTGCTGCAGATATGGAAATAGCACGGCAACAGGAGCCGTCAGTGATGGTCATCACGTGAATAAATTTGATCAGTTTGCAAGTCAAGATCTCTATTAGTTTCAGGATAATTTGAAATCCTTAGAATAATAGTGAAAGTTGAGAGAAAAGTCTTTGACCGCTGACAGCCTCTCAGCTGCAATGAGACGCACCAAGTGCGTGCAAGTCCCACCTACACAAGCATCCAATAGATTGCGAAATCGAGACCAGAAGAGACAGTTCCATGATGCACAGAATTGCTCTCGAGTGCTTGGCTCAATGCTGTAGAACTTGTTAACCAAGTTATGGGATGTGACAGTTTCGCATATACATGCATCGATGGCTATGTAAAAGATCACATGCAGTGCTTGACGACCAGGACATACATAGAAGTTGTGTTAGTGAGAGGCAACATAGCAACTGAGAAGATGTATGTGCAACAATAACTGCAGGTATGACGGTTAGAGGTCAGAATCTAGGAGCAGTTGTCCCGAGTCTGGATGGATATTGTAGTCGATGTAACAATATTGGACTGTGACATGAGAGAACATCAGGTGATAGGTATTCATCAAGGGCACGGCTCTTTTTGATGTAACACTATGTTAGGCTCGAATTGACTCTATAGCTTTGAGACTATGAGATCTGGTTGTAACTAGAGCATCCACTGCACCGGGCATCTATGCTTCTCTTCCGCCGCAAAGTGGATATTATCGGGTCCGTTCGACCGAGGTTGTCAATTATGGTCTGGATGGAAGGATATTTGGTAGAGATGAATTGATTTTGAATGAAACGACTATGTATTATAAAAGAGAATTAATAGAGTAGTGAGACAATAAACAAGGTATTCAGTGTCAGTGCTCCATATATACCGAGATAATATTTTATCAGATGCCGTGGCCAGTTCCTCGGTATCCGGGAATGGCTGCGGAGCTCCATATGTAAAGTATTCCGGTTCCGGTTTCGCCTCGCATGTCTTTTAGCTTGACATACGAAAATATATCAAGGCATATGAATATATAGATCATATAGTATAAGAGAATATCACAATCAAGTAATATTTCTTGGCAATATAGTTGCAAAGAAGAACAAATACGTGTAAAAGACTGTCGATCTTATGACGACTGAAGATGCCCAAGCTACAGGGCATCCAGCGCTATACCCTCCTATACCGTTGGCTGCGCCTTCCCTTGGAACAGCCATCCCAAAGAGCACATGACCCACGTGATCATCTTGTAGTTAGTCCTGAGGTTTCCAATGGGATATGCCTGATCAATCCTTGCCTTTTCATTGACTCCTTACTAGATCTGTTGTACAATTCAACATATCGTCATCAATTGAATCCGTATAATACTGAGGATCTGACCTCTCTTACACAGAGTCTGGTCTGGCCTGACAGGCCTAGAACCCGCCCCCACTTGTCCCTCCGAGCTGGGGCCTCCCGACGTCTTGCCCCGGCCCAACGCACCATCGGCTCCGTGTACTTTACCTTTACTTTACTTTTGACTAGAAACAGTCACAAGGCGGAGAATTCTCGTCCTAGTCGGGATTTATCTACTGTGCCTTGTTTTTACCCCTAAGGGAGAAAACCACATTCACTGTCGTTATACTGTCCCTCGGCGCAATAATCTACAGCTTCATCATCGGACAGACCCGGCCCCAAGTTCTAGGTGGGGTTTCAATGTCCAACGCGGGGCTCACTCTCTGCCTCTGACGACTCTTGCCGATTTAATTACAATACCGGAACTGACGAGAACTGAACTGGACGAGAAACTCACCAGACTTTGTGGCACACCATGTCGTCGGTCAAAGCCACAAAGAAGAGCGCATTCTCTTGTGAGCCGTGCCGTAGACGCAAGGTCAATACAACCATTACTTCACCCATAAACCTGTACTGATACCCTTTAGGTCAAATGCGGCGGCGAGCAACCTATTTGCAATCGCTGTGCTGCTAGAAGCGATGACTGTATTTACAAACTGTGGGACTCACCTCGGCCTCACTATTTTTTGAGCAATTGCTCACGTGTCATAGAAACCCGACTCTGTCTTACACCCAACGCCTTGAGGAACGCATCAAAGAACTAGAAGATCAACTTGCAGCTCTCAAATCCCCCCCTCAGTTGCCGCCTCAAATCATTCGAGTCCTGGGGTCTGGAATGGCCATGACTTGAATCGCCATCCAGAGGAGCATGCAATGACGAGGAGCTTCATGGGTCTCAAGATCGATGACAAGGGTGGCATTACTTATCATGGACCGACGAGTCTCTTTAATCTTCCCAGTGACCCTCACAAGCATAAGCCAGACTCGATATCATCCATTGACTCAGATGCTCATAGGAGAGAGCGATTGGTCAACAATGCATGGCATCAGCGAGCGATGGAAAACTTGTCTGATATTCCAGTAGGTTTTCATCAGATCAGCTGTCTTATTCATCTCAACCAACTTACACCACAAAGGAACCGTTTCAATACCTTCTGAACGTGCATTGGTGCTGGATCCAGCCTCTTTTTAACTTCATTTACAGGCCTGCATTCACTCGTATGCTTCACCTTGACATCACCTAAGAAGTGACTAACGCTCACAGGTGACATGCAATCCATGGGACCTTACTATTCTCACACTCTTCTGAACGCTATGCTCTCACATTCTATCCGCTGGGGTAAAAGTGATCCTTCCACCAAACAGCTGCTGGATCAGTCGTACGATGGAGGAGCTGTCTTCGCAAAACATGCCCGAAGCATGCTTTTCGACGAACTAAGTCGAGGTGTTTGCACTATCCCAACTGTTCAGACATTACTACTTCTTAGCGCAGGAGAATGTGGTCATGGCAACACGACACAGGCTTGGATTTATAGTGGCATAGCCTTCCGCCTCATCGATCATCTGGGCATTTGTGTTGATGGACAGAGATATCCAGGATCCGTCCATTTGACTGATGAGGAGGTTGAGATTCGACATCGACTTTACTGGAGTTGCTACTTCTGGGATAAGATTATCAGCCTATACCTCGGTCGTTCGCCTTCACTACAGCATACACTTGTGTCTCCACCCCAGATTATCAGTAAGTCTAGCTGTGGAATTATTCAGCAAGCAAGTTACTCATGATTCTGTAGTGGACGACTCGGCTGAGAATGAGCTCTGGGTCCCCTTCGACTCCCCTCATGGATCAGATTGGAAATATCCTCCCGCGACAGCTCATTCGACTTCCTGTTTCATGAGTGCTTGTCGATTATCGGTCATCTTTAATGAGATTCTCATCCATATGTATGATCCATTACTGGAGAATACGGAGGCAGAGATGCAAGAGTGTCTGCAGACCCAGGATCCTGCCATGAGACTCTGGTGGGAACAACTCCCTCCGCATCTTAAGATCGAACTCTCCGCCATGCCTGAGTTGGCACCGCCGTCCCACATCGTTACCATGAAGTAAGGATCCGATTTCCTGTTTCTGAAAACCAGTAGCTAACTGCAGTAAAGTGCCTTATACCATACGTTCAGAATTCTCCTGTTCAGGCCTATGCTTACCTGGCAGGTATACCCAGAAGATGAGGGCCCTCATCCGATGCAAAACCATCTTGTTGAATGTGTCACATCTGCAACATCTATTATCGCCATCTTCGATCTATTCTGCAGAACATTTACCATCAGCCACTGCGTTCTATCACTCTCATACAGTGTGTATATCGCGGCCACAATTTTTCTTTTGCAGGTTCAAGCTACCCCTGAGGACCAACAAGCAGTCCGCAAGCTGAGCTTCTGCGTACGCGCCTTGCATCAGGCCAAAAATGTCAATCCAGGTAAGCAGCTCTAAGTTCATAGCTGATACAAGCTCTTAACACATCGCCCAGTCATCTCAAGCGCCTTGGATTTGATCACCCGAGAGATGGCGAATCTTGGGCTTGATCCAGGATTTAGCACACCACAACAACAGCCTCCTCCGCCCATGCCTCAGCAAATGCCAGATGTTCCAATGCCTACGGACATACCGATTACTGAGACTGTTTACCCGGCTTCATTTGAGATACCTGCCCAGCAATCACCTTACGAGCCGGAGCAACTGTTTCAGACACCATGGGCAGACAACATGAATCCAAATGCAATGGCAGTCGACCGTGGTGTTTTTGAAGCCTTGTCCTCATTTGAGCCCCTGAGTGTACGGGTGGGCGCTATCTACGAGTCAGGAAACAACCCTCAGAATTTTGGTTGATCAAGGATGCCGTTGCAGAAGCATCCTGGAATTTACTAAAACTGATTTGATCAATGTTAATGACAGCAGGATATATAAAGATCAAGGAACTGATACGAATTTGAAACCTGGAATCTCCAACTGGACTGAAAAATATGAGCTTCTCGATCGGGTATCAGTGCATCAGACGCGATTAAAGACCCAAGGATCTTGATTCATCCAGTAACAAAGAGCTCGCCAAGAGAAGAGGCCTATAATGTACCGACAGTCTTGATTGCGAGCTCTTCCATCAGGATATCGAAGCCGAGTCAGCGTCATATACCCGCATCTGCCGAGCCCTCAAGGTCCGCGCGCCGAACCCTTCTCGGCCCTACTCGGAGTATATGTAATCGACGTTGTACTTTCAACAACACACTTCATGCTGGAACATAGAGTTCTTGTGCTGGTTACCTGTAGAGTAGCCTAGCGCTTTGTAGAAAGAACAGCTAGTTTGGATCACAGTTGAAGCTATTTTGGAAATCGTTCTTGACGTTTCAGGGGCCGCAATGCAACGACGGAATGATTGACAGATGAATGATAGGCAGTCAAGATATGAATACATAAATGAAGAAGATTAAAAAGTACAACTGTCCGTGGCAAATAAGCCAAAATAGCTTTGAACACGGTAAGTGAGATTGCCCTATCGTCGAGCCCCAGTACCAGCCGTTAGTGGTTTCAATCACTGGTCCGCCTTCCTCGATGGCCTCTGAACATCCCATAAATCTTCCGCATTTCCTCTGAACAGCCGCTCTTTGAGATGCCCATCATCACCGCACCATCCCAGCACTCTCTCCATCCACGGCTTGATATCCAGTCCCTCAAACCTAGTATGAGGCCAATCAGTTGCAAAAACAACATGAGTCTTTCCAGCAACTCGAATGACCTCCTTAGCGATGGGATCCAAGTCGCTGTAGTCAGGGAGTGTGCTCATCCGGTAAGCGGCCGACAGCTTGACATATGTCTGGCCGGTCTTGAGTAAGTTGATGAGGGATGAGAAGCCTGGTATATCATATGGGTCGGCACCTGCGTATTTCTTGAGAGGTGGATGTCCAAGATGGTCTATGCAGAACTTGATATTCAGCTTTGGGATGATAGGTTCGAGGAGAGTAACCATATCCATAGGAACGTAGACTTGGACGACCCACCCCAATGGTCTCACGGCATCGGCGTAAAGCATCAGTTGACGCTCCAACTCAGCCGCATCAATTGCAAGTTCATTTGAGAGAATATTCAGTCTCACTCCACGGACGCCCAATTCATGCCATGAACGTAGTTCATCTGCGTTGAACGACTCAGGGTCAATAGCAACAACGCCTCTTCCACGCTCAGCACCAAGGGCGCGAAGACCATCGAGCAAACATGAGTTATCAAGGCCATAGATAGATGGTTGAACCAGGACTATGTTTCGAAGCCCAACGCTAGTTTCAAAAGCGAGGGCTTGGTCGAGGGTATGAGAGGTAGGACGGTATTTGGCTGAAGCATCAAGGGTGTAATTCTCAACATCGACAATGTGCATGTGTGAGTCCCATGAGTCGGGAGGAATGCGTTGAGCAAGGTTTGATGAAGTCATGATGAAGATATTGAGTGTGTATGATTAATTTGATAGATTATAGAGGGTTATAGGGATGATATATAGTCAGTGTAAGTATAGAATATGCTATGTCCGACTGGGGAACCGAGGTCGGCCGAGTCGGCGGGGAAGACGAGACGAGAGTTTAAACGGGCTCGGCATTCAACGAACGGTGACTTCCGAAAGTTAATTGAGCCCATATTATTTTTATCTTATCGTATTTCTTTTGCATTTGATATCCTAGGCATTGTGTACATATGTATGCCTAGCATAATAACGGCAGTTATCCTTGCTAGCACGTGTGAGAGGGTTTACAGGCATTAGCTATGCGAACACGCCCTGAGTGCATAGGGCGCATATGTCGAAGAATAACGGTAATAATGAAATCCACAAATATAGCCGAGATAGCCTCTCACTAACAAGCACTGTTCTTTGTAATTGTGCGTATAAGAAGCGTATACACAGCCAGCATAAGGCGGCAACTTACATATCGACAGGCGTATAAGCAGAATCACCTATTTCAAATAGCTCACAGCCCTGTCACACCCGTTGCAGTAAATCTGTTCAATAATCAACACAGCCTCAACCACTGATTCCATCTGCCATTGTTGCTAATATAAACCGCGGGGCAAAAGAAAGACCCTTGAACTAGCCCCATCCACGCCACCTTCCCAAAAGAGGAAGCAGAGCTCTGCGAAATCCAATCGTCATCTGCGTCTTCGGTGACGCAGCTCCTAGACCCCGCCACACCTTCCCATTGTAAGGATTTGTCATTCACTTTGACCGACAGCCCGAAAAAACGTTCAAATATCAATGCGATTCCCTCGATAGCTTCACTTTAACTGCACACTCAACAACACAATTATTTCGATACTGGTAGTAATCAAAATGTCTTACCTTCCTCCCTTCTTGGCGCGTCTCGCTCGCCCCTTCACACAATCTACACGCCTCTCAATCGCTCCCGATCAATCCGCCGCATCTGTCATCCCTGAGGGCGCTCAGCGATGCACCGTCGCCGCGGGATGTTTTTGGGGAACAGAGCATTTGTATCGCAGACACTTTGCCGATAAGGGTCTGATCGATGCAAAGGTTGGATACATTGGTGGCGATCTCGATAACCCTAGCTACCGCGCTGTCTGTGGCGGGAAGACAGGCCGTACGTCGCAATTCTCATCATTCGCAATGGAATATCACTAACATACATACATAGACGCCGAGGCCGCGCAAATCATCTTCGACCCTACAAAGGTCACATACGCACAACTCCTAGAATTCTTCTACAAGACACACGACCCCACGACGCTGAACCGCCAGGGTCCCGATACCGGCCCTCAGTACCGCTCTGCTATTTACTTCCACAACGAGGAGCAAGAGAAGATTGCGCGCGAGGTCACAGAAAAGGCCAACAAGCAATGGTGGAAGGGCGGCATCGTTACCGAAATTGCGCCCGCTGGAAAGTGGTGGACTGCTGAGGAGTATCACCAGCTCTACCTCCACAACAACCCCTCTGGATATGAGTGCCCGAGCCACTTTTTGAGACCATTCCCACCTCTCGAGTAAATATTTGGGGATAATCGCATTTTGGCTTAGCAGAGAGAAGGACATGGCACCAATGATATCAGCAAATTTGGCATGAGGAAATGAGAGGACAGAAATTCAACATTTAAGTTATACCTAGTCACAATACAAAACATGTGAAACTCACTCCACTATGAATTATTGAAGTTTTTTTTTTTTCTTCTTATTTGTTAATCCTAAAATTAAGAAATGGGAAAATCCATCCACTTGTAGACTGGTTTCAACAAAAAACAGGAGAGGAGTTCATGATCCTCCATCCGAGTAATAATCCTTTTGCTAAAAATAATACAAAACGCCTACAGCGCTAGTTCTATGCAACTCCCATTACCAATCGCTTACTTGCGTCGGTTCTGCTGCATCATCAAGATCTGAACCATGCGGATGAAGATGTTGAGGAAGTCAAGCTCAAGAGAGATACTCTCGTTGACGGGGTCACGGCGGATGACACCAGCCTGGGCGAGACGAGCGTGGTGGAGAACCTTCTGGACATCGTACAGAGTGAAACCACCAAAGACAGCAAGACCACCGTACAGCCAGATGCTCTCAGTGAAGGCGAGAGTTCGGATAGCGGTGGCGGGGATGACGAGAGGAGCGAGACCAGAAGCAGCGACAATGGCGGCACCAGCCAGGAGAGGACCACCGATGTAGAGGTACTTCTCCTGCTTAGCAGTGGCGCCGACAACAGCAAGACCACCCATCATGGCGATGGTGTAGAGACCGGCACGTCCAAGGAGAGCGGGAGGCACGAAAGCGAGGAGAGGGGCGACAAAGGCAGCCTGGGTGGCGTTGAAAGCGGTCCAGAGAGCGTACTTGGGAATATAGCTGTAAATTTGTTAGTAAATTGCCGCAATCCATCATTGATTCTGATTGCTGGAAACTTACTTGTCAGGGCTAATAGATCGGGTTCCAATCATAGTGGCGAAGCTGAGAGCGAGGCCACCAATTCCAACAACCCAAGGGTTAGTAACCATGATTCGATACACGAAGCCAGTCTGAACCATTTGTCGAGCCGTCAATCCAATGATACCAATTCCGAGTCCAGTGTGCAAGAAAGTGTTGTTCAGGTATTCGCGCTCGTAAACGGGCATGCCACCATCCTCGCGGGTCTCCCGGTTGAAGACAGCATTGATGGCAACAAGCGTACCACCAAAGATGGCGCCTCCAACCAAGAGTCGTCGGCTTGTCGACTGAGGCGCTGTGGTAGCTCCAGCAGCTTGCTGGTTATAAGATCGGCCGCCAGCACGGCTTGTTCGTTGGAAAGCATTGCGGGTGGCAGCGGATGTGACGCGCGATGTGAAGAAGTTGGCTGTGGGCTTGGATTGAACGTGGAAGCTTCGGACGGATGCGGTGTTGCGGAAGGCAGTCTTTGAGAGCTCAGGAAGCCTCTGCGCAAGTCGCGCAGGGCCCTGGCGGACAGTGATTGTGAAGGACATCGTCTTTCTGGCGATGCAGGTGTTGGAGAATGCGATATGCAGTCGTTTACAAAGGAAAAGGTTGAAGCGGGGACGGGGAATCGAGAGTATTATAAGTCCCCGGTAAAAGAAAGCATGACGTTGGTTCCGGGTGTGGGGCCTACCTAAAATCCGACATCACGTGGCTGTGTTGGTGGAATATTGTGGAAAGAACCGGTGCCTCTCAGTGACTCAGTTGGTCATCACTCGGCGGCTACAGGTTCTAAACTCCAGACGCCGTCGGATTTACTGGTGATACGCTATGGGAATAGTTACATCACAGCTACGTTAAGGTTAGCTCCCTTCTAGCTTCTTCTATTTTCGGCTTCTTCTTTTCAATTCCAATATTATTATGAAGGATATCAACACCTCCATCAAGGGTATCTACTAAGCATCCTTTCACCCAACATTCACCCCGTTGCATCATGCTTTCCGCCCAAATGTGCGTTACATCGCATGAGACTTGATATGTAGTAATGGCAAATGCTCCACGACTTTGACGCCAATGCTGCGTAACACAGATCCGATGCTTTCCATTCCCACTTAATTCCCATTCAATTCTCAATCATTTCCTCAAAAAGTGTTCCCGCAAGACGCCGTTCTTTCTTATCGTAAGCTTCCAAACCCTTTCTCGATGACGAACCGCACGGGTCGTCGTGCTCTCTTAGCTCGGTATCCAAACGCAGATCGTGGCATAAAGTTCTGCGATGTGAGCATAGCAACGCTCATGGCCTTGGGCGCAGGACTATCATCTTCCGATTGTCCCTGTCCAGAGGTTTCACTTGACGTGGGTTCTATAGAACGTTGACCAACGCGGTCGTCAAACCCCCAGTTCGAAACACCACCGGCTCGAATCCAAGACTCCAAGTTGCGGCATTGGCTGACATCCATCCAGTTCAGTCGCCCGCAGCCATTGAGAACATTTTCGACACCTCGACCAGTAACACGCACGCAGCCACGAACACTGAGGGCTTCCAAATCGTTCAAGTGGAGCGCCACGCTTTCCAAGCTTCCATCGCTGACCGCACTTCCGCAGAAAGCCAAGCGCAGCTCTCGCAACTTTGGCAGACGGAGAGCGACAACCTCTGTCGCCGTGTCAGAGAGTGCACAGCAGAACGATAGGTCCAGATGTGTAAGGTTTTTGGCTGAGTTGACCAGGGCAACGACAGCGTTGTCCGAAAGATATGTGCAATCAGCTAGGCACAGCCTAGATAACTTCTCAAACCGGAAGGGCGCCCAGGATTGGAACCCTGCATCTGTAATCGATGTGCAGCGTGTGAGGGACAGCGACTCGATACGGTTCGAAGCATGTGCTGCTAAATGAGCCATGGAACGATCTGTGATGTGCTTGCAATAGGAGAGGTTGAGGCGTTTGAGTTTCGGGCACCCAACTACTGTGCCTGGTGGCAGAACGTGCTGTGCCGCATGCTTTTGTTGCTGTTGCTTGCTTCGCGATCGAGCTGCAGAGCTTGAGATAACGACTGATTTCGAAGGTGGTGGATCGGGTACAACCCAGCCAACAACGCGGCCTAGAAGATTATCGCCGACCTTGCGGCAGTTGCTCCAGTCAACTTCTTCCAATCCCTTTGCGTTCTCGCTCATCTCCAGGATCTGGTTCGCAGAAACATCCCAAACCGACTTCATCTTCCACTTCTTGATATTTTTGCCACAGCTGCGCCATAGAGCTCCGAACCCTTCGTCCGTTATGTGAAAGCAATTACTCAGGTCAATGGACAGAGCGCGAGTGCCAATGAAGGGAGCAAGCACCTTCATGAGGACTTCGTCGGTAACCTTGCGGTTGTAAATCGAGAGGTCGACATGTTGGCAAACTTTGGGGGATGTAGTCAGCAGCTTACGCCAGTGTGTGCTAACAAGGCGTAGTCGAAACAGCTCTCCTATATCCACGTGTTTGAAGATGTAAATCAAGATCTCATCTGAGAGCACTGGTTTGCTCATAGTGATTGGTCGAGTGGGCAGAGTCGTCCGGACGCGCTTTGCCGGGACGTCGTCGTCGTCAGCTGAAGCTTCAGAAAACGGAAATTTGATAGGAGTTACTTCTGAGAGGCGAGACCTCGCACCGTTGGTCGTTGGGGTAGAGCTGTCTGTTGGAGGTACTGGAGGTGCCAACGAATGGCGTCTTCGATTTCGAATATTCTCCATGTTGACACTCAAGAACGGATCGGGGTCCTTGGGTGCTATGTTGCTGGTATCATCTTTCGCTGGAGACCCAGGCTTGGACGGAGTAGTGAAAGTGAGGTCAGGGAGGGATGCTCGTGTTGGTGTTGTAGGTGTAGGCGGGTCAGATTTGTTGGCTTTTTCCTTGACATCGAAATCAACCATAACAACATCGTCGCTCTGTTTCTGATATCGCAATCGTGCAGTCTCTCGAACCTGTTTTAGGATATCCGAAGGACAACGTCTCCAGAACTCGTCGAGGACGTCGCCTGTGATCATGATACACTCAACAGAAGTGATAGATCTTACAGTGGCTGTTCGACCACGCGACAACCCAAGACTCGCAACTTCGCCAAAATATTGGCCTGCCTTCAATCGAGGTCGTTTTGGGATAGCTTTGGCCTTATTCTGAATGTTATCATCGTAGACTGGTTCATCGTGAATAACCTCCGCCTCGCCACGAACAATGAAGAAAATTTCGTTTCCCGGTAAGCCTTGGCGAACAATATCTGTAAACGGGGTATAGGATTTCGGTTGGACACTCAATCCCAGGAAATGCAGAATATCTGCAGGAAGTGTGGAGAAGAGCGGTAACTCCTTAAGTGTTGTTCGAATATTAATTTGACCGCTTCCAATCGCACTACCAGCAGCTGGGTCCTCCATGATTCCAGGGCTTGGGGACTTCCTTTTCTTGTGGTTGACAACGGCACCGTCCTTAATGGCGCCCCTTTCTCCAGTAGAAACCTCTCCTGGAGCGGGTTCTCGAGCACTGAAGTCTCCCTGGGGAGATTTGACCAATCTTCCACTTTCTTGCCGCTTCTTCTTCAGAAGGTTCAAGCGTTCCTGTGCCTCTTCCCGGATTGCCTTCTCCATTTCTGGGAATTTGGGTATCACGGCATGTAAATCCTCTTTCTTCAGCACTAGCAACAGACACTTCGTTCGCGCTACAATAGTAGCTGTTCGAGGCATCTGCATCAAAACACCGATTTCTCCAAAGAACGACCCGGGATTGAGCTCAGCATAGACTGCCTCACCGTCCCGCGAGGTGACAGCAACTACTCCTCGAACCAACCAATACATCGCCTTGGCTTCGTCTCCCTCTGTCACGATGTGGTCATTGGGGCTTTGGATTTGAGGCTTCAGGTGATTTCCTATAGCAACAAGAAACTCTTCCGGGGCTGACATGAACAGAGGGAAGGATCTGATGCGGTCAACCAGATCTAGCGGCATGTCTCGGATAAGCGATGCTGTGAGCGGCGAAGGCCGCACTGGCCGCGTAGGATTTGTTTCGACATTGAAAGACCGAATTAATGAAATCGAATCTGAGGATGTCGCAGCAGCCGAGGCCTGATGATGATGAGCCAAAGCCCTATAAGGCGATGGCGAGCTTGGGGAACGGCCTCGCCTCATGGTTCCAGGTTTGACAAAGAGCGGTGTTGCTAAAGTCAGCGGAATCGCAATGACGAGGACAATTGCCTCCCCTCCAGCAAGCTCTCAAGCCGCCGCCGCAGCTGAGGGTGACAGTTTCTTGACTTTTGTTCCTTGTTCCTGGCTTTGTATTTCCAAAGTTCTGACGCGGAAATGTCGAGTGAAACTTGGGGAGTGGGTCAAGGTACAGTCATGCTCCGGTGTGACGTTGAGAAGCAATCCTTGAGGAGAATAAGATGATCGCTTTCGTGCAATCGTTTTGCCGACTGAGGCTCGAAATATGGACGCACAAAAGGCTTGTATTGAAGCCCAGGTTCGATCCGTAGGCCCCCTGATAGGTAGAGGACGTAAAAGCTGCAGTCACAGACTGAATAACAAGGTAGAAGTCGCACAGGGTTCCAAGGCGGCGGTTTGGATCTTTTTCGTAACACGAGAACAAGGAGCGAGCTGTTGTGTAGGTGAGGGCGTAGATGTTGAACGTCAAGAATGATCGCGTGGATATATCGAAGGCGGCTTTCGAGGAGTGTGAGCGATGACGGAAGGCAGACAAAGAATAGAGACTCGTGTTGGGACTTACTAAAGCTTGAGCAGGAGCCAAGAAATGAAGGTTATCTGATGCTCACGGGTCGAGGTTAAAGAAGAAGAAAGCTGGTGGGGAGCTGTCAAGAAGCAACAAGGAAGCTATTGCGAGGGTGGCAATTGGCGAAGCTCGAAGAGGAAATCAGTTGAGGGAGGTCAAGTCAAGTCAAGGACCACTGACTGGACTGGATGTACAGTAGAAGATTAGTAGTCTAGATAGATCCGCATGGGAAAAGCTGGATTCCAGTGCCAGTTCCGGCCGCCACAAGAACAACGCCCACTCAAGACCACGACCACGACACAGAAGGCCCCTCTTGCATTCGACACGCCCACTCACACGCGCAAGGAAAGCTTGGTGTGGGGTAGGTAAGTACCTACAGCACTGTAGGTACTATACTGACTTAGCTGGGCGGGCGGGCAGTGCCGTCACACACGGTGAGGAGCGTGTAAGAAGCGAGCAAAAGAACAAGGGCCCCTGGGAAAGTGAAGCTTTGGGTGGAGAATTATGAGCAAGCCAAAAGCAAGCAAGCAAGCATCGGTAATGCAAGCAATTCAACGGGAAAAGAACGGTTTCGAGAGTCAAACTTTGGTTAATCACCGAGCGGCACAGAAATTAACTCTCGCAATGATGCGACTGTTGATAAACTGAGATGCCCTGGGCTGCCCGCGTGGTGGTGCCGGTACCTTGGCACAAGCGCATGTAGCTAAGATAGGTGTAGTACCAGCGCCAGCTAACTTATTGCCCTGTACCTAAAGTTAGTGGCGTCTTAGGGCAGTGGACATCATCGCAAAGTGAAACGGAGCCAGCCCCAGAGCTGCTGTTGGGAAGAAACCTGAGGGTCAGTGCGTTGAGGCGCTTCGGTGGATGCTTCGATAAAGCTTCAGTGGGATGGATGTGCTGTTGCTGCTCGTCATGGACCTTGACCAAACCCTTTCAAGGACCCCGGTAATGGTCTTCTCATCCTCACTAGCGAGCGGCACCAAGCGCAGATGACCGAGCGCGCACAGGGCGCTTAACGGTTCACTGGTACCTTTCTTTGATGTTTGGCAGGGGTAAAATAATCTGACCAAAAACACCTGCGTGAGAGCTGATACTACGGAAGCGACCCGATAGCTTCTCTTGATTCCATAACCCATGCATGGCCAATAATTGATAATGTTCCATCAGTTTGACGAACCCGTGGTTGACGGTGAGTCCATGATTTTTAGGGTTAGTAGCGGTCGTTTTCTGCCGTCATCATTTCCCCTCTGCTACGTATATGTCGATCCTGATCGTCGGATCCGTGCAGCCAGCCTCCAGCCTGCCGGGAAAGGGGCCAGCCATGTTATGCCATCGGTCAGAAGACCATCGTTTTGGTGATATATCCGATATGGTTGTCATTTGCCTCGGCAAGCTGCGCGTAAATTTGGCCGTGGGAGTTCGTTTTGAGAAGTTTGATACATGTCGTGATACCATCTGTACAGTACTGTCGTTGTGGTGAATGTTTGTCAAGAGCCTCCATTTTGCATTGACCTCTCGTCATGCAGATGCTGCGACAGTTACAGTAGCGTTTAGCTGTGGCTGAAAATAGATACATGGCTTGATAATTTGCAGCTTTATTCGGGCACGTTCGCATCGCCATGAATGTCAATGCCAGATGCGGCAGCTTGTCGGAAGGAGATCCTTGCAATATGTAATAGATAGAATGCTCTGCGGAATCATTTTGTGAAACGTTTCGTCATGGTGTTTCATGTCGGCGGGCTGTCAGTATCATCCCGATCAGGTCGGTCTGCAGTAAACATGCAGTGATTGTCATGGGAAAACTGCAGCCTTGTAAGGCGACCTGCATCAATTTCTTCTTCTGTCGCCTAAAGAATTGCAGAATCACAAGCAAATATGTATTTCTTCTCAGTCTCAGTAGTCTAAAACAGGGTCTCTAAAAGTTTTGAGGCCACCCATGCAGGGTTATTGGCTGTGATCTTTCTAGAAGGTAGCACTGAGCAAGGGACAGCGGTCAAGCAACGCAATGACCATCTTGCCCCCTGGTAATGGAAACTCGCTAGAACAAGGAGAAGAAGGAACGAATTATTGCAGGCCAGGTCGTATTTTCAGGTCGTATTTTCAGGTCGTCAGGTCATTAAACCAAATGCAGGTCCTACCTTAGGAATGCGCTGGAAAGAAGCAGTCTCCTGAGACGGGAAACTCATCGTTCATGGCAGCTACCTAGATTAGTTGGTTGACCACCCTTCTTCTTATCCTCTTCAATATCGATTAATCAAATCTGTCTAGGGTACTAAGGTGGCTAACGAAACTATCCTAGGTAAGCTGTCATCAACTATTTGTATATATGCTACCAACGGCTTCAAAGTCCAACGAACTACCACACATCCATTATACTCATCGATAGGTATCCTTAGCAGATACATCGATAAATCAGTATGGTAGTACCCACGTTACCAACCTCCGGGGTCCATGCCCCCACGAAACTGCGATATGGTTTCTGTGCAGTCCTTTTGCAACTTGGCGATGGTTTCGTGGCGAGTGAGTACTTCCTGTTCATGCAATTATGGCCATCAAAACTCATCAACATGTTAGGTAGTGGTCGGAAGGCTTGACTCGAAAATTCCCATTACCGTACGTGACATTCCTTTCTCATAGACGGTGCAAATTCTGCGGGCAGTGGCGACATATTACTTCCAGATGGTTGCTTAAACTGTTATCAGGGGCTAGTATCTATACCGCTTCACTCAGACTGCCTTAAGCTATTCTTGAGAGAATGCTAGCGAGAGTATGTTTAGGGGATTCTCTGGCTTCTAGCTGTTTGGCAGATGCTTGGAAAACGCTATGGAAGAGCCACAGTGTTTATCGGTTATGTCTTGAACCAGAACACCGTAAGCCACCTAGCTCTGCTGTCTCAGACACACTCGGTTGCTCCAAATCGGCCAGATTTCCTCCAGAGACGATCCAGCTAGTTGCAGCATACCCAGCTTCTAGCCCGCTCGCACTTCTGTACTGTCCAAGGTCTCGCTATTCAGGCATACTAAGACGGTTCTAGCGGCTTTATAGATATACCTATACCAAAAGTCGTCTCTTGGTCCAGAGGGGACAATTCCAAAACTACGAATGACCTTCAACAAACCCTTCTGATCTTGCGATTCATGATTGATGCTTTTAGAATCAAGAACTTCAAAGGGTCGGGTTCTTTATATGAAATGCCTGGTTCGGAATCGAATATCTTCGCTTTCCTTCATGAGTCTTCCTTGCGTCATTGAGCAATAAGTCTCCCAAGCGTTAACCAAGCAAGCCATGGCTGCCTACTGCGCTTCCAAGTAAGTTTGCCAAGTTTGGTAGAGATGGCGTCCGTGCTGACGATATCGCCAGTATGGAAGTGCTCGCTTGGTCCTGGATAAAAAGCTACAGATCATCCCTTGGACATGGGATGCCAAACCCCCGTATACTAACTATCTCCCTTCATCCTCGTACCGATGCCGATGGGCAGGAGCCGGAGGAGGTGGTCACAGTATATGAAGCAGCCGACATAGAATAAAGAAGTCAAGACCCTCCTCGCCCTCTGCTGCCCGTTCTTGGTGTTTTGTGTTGGAGGTTATCTGAGGTAGCCAGAGACCAGTTGCCTCAGCGAACATCGACTGCACGTGTATTCCACCCTCCAGTCTTCGCACTCTCCGCTTTGATGGTCTTACCAGCCTCACCTTTTCTTCTTTCGGCGCAGACTCTACAGTATCCACGCCGACACTGCAACGGAATACTCTCGGACCGCTGCATTAGCTGCAGCCATGCAACACTTCTACGAAAGCTTCTCGGAACGTTACATCAGGCCCCAGCCAGTATCAAGTGAAAGAACATGCAGCGTTGAAGGTTGCAATTCTCAATCCCTCTCTGACTGCGGGTATGTGTCATAAACATCTTGATCAACTTAGCCAAGAATGGCAGCAGGAGCAAAGGGACCAGGACTTTTCAGCTCTCAAGATAGCATTAAAGGTTTCTGCTAGCAGGCAGTAGCATTGTCTTAAACGCTACCAAATTGTATTAAACCTCGTCCTTCTTACGCGAGTATTCACATGGTAAAAGCATGGAAATGATCCAGAAGACAGCCAGAAGTTATCGAATATGTCAAATCGTAAGTCGCTCTTTGAACTGTTAATAAGAGAATATGGTATTAATAGCTGCAATAGGCAAGGAGTTGAAATACGTTTCTCGTCCGAAGATTCGTTCCGATCCGACCTCGTCGATGTCCTTGCCCTCTATAAGGCTGTGTATGTTGGAGCGCCTACAGCACAGCACAGCGACGTATGCTGACTCTTTTCAGTGACAAGGCTGGCGTGAACCGCGTTGGTATTGCTGATACTGTGGGAGGAGCTACCCCGCGAATGGTCCATGATCTCGTCCGAACGCTCCGAGGCAAGTAGATGACAGCCAGGAACGGAATTCAAGAGACAAGAGCTAACAGCGTCCAGGCGTGGTCGGATGTGACAGGCATGTCACCTCTTTCTCTCACACACGCCGCTTCACTAACACATCTATAGAGACACATTTCCACGACGATACTGGCTGCACAGTTGCGTAAGATGGCCCTTTGGCACGATGAGGCAATGGTCTCCGGCTTACACTCTATTTAGGAACGCTGTCACCGCCCTTGAAGGAGGAGCGACGCACGTTGATACATCAGTTCTTGGTATTGGTGAACGTGAGTCTGTTAATCCAGAGCGAGATAACTGTCGCACTAACTTGAGACCTCACAGGAAACGGTATCACTCCACTGTAAGCGTCGTGACAGCAACAGCACCGCTGAATCTAACTAACAACTTGCTTCAAGAGGTGCACTGATGGCTCGCATGGTCGTGACTACACCAGAGTACACCAAGACTCACTATAAGCTTCCCAAGCTCAAGGAAATCGAGGAGTATGTTGCGAGTGTCGTCCAAGTCAACATCCCTTTCAACAATCCCATTACTGGCTTCTGTGTACGCTCCTCCAAGTCCAGCTTTCGTCCGCAATAGCCAACGCGCGCAGGCTTTCACGCATAAAGCTGGTATTCACGCCAAGGGTAGGGATAGAGCTACTATTTAGCTTCCTTTGATCCAGAACTGACTTTTTGTAGCTATTCTGGCGAACCCCTCTACTTATGAGGTAACTCTCATCTTTTTTTTTTTTTTTCAATGATGGTGAAATTGTTAACAGATGACAGATTATTGACACTGTGCTGTTCGGACGTACGATTCCCCCCCTCTCCTATTAAACGCTTGAATAAAAGGCAACTAACTTCGTGGTGACTCGTTATGTCAACATTACCTCAAGAATCACCGGGCGGAATGCCGTAAAGGGTAGAATGTTGGTTTCCCCCAGTTTTCCAATTCTAAATCGTGCCTCAATGGGTGTCGATGATGTTTCGGCATGGGTGAAACGACAAACTTTTCTTAGTTCTCAATTGGGCCTGGATGGACCCGGTGGCTTTGAAACTGATGACCAAATCAAGGAAGTGTACGTTCTACGGGCTTGAGGAAGAAACTGAAGGCATTGGACGAAGTTGACTGACATATCCGGAATAGGACCGCCAAGATCAAGCAAATGGCCGATAGTGAGCAACCATTCCCTATTCAGCATTCATGCATTTTTAGTGTTGAGGAGCTAACAGAGGCCTTTTTTTCGTTCGTCCACTTGCTATCGACGACGCAGACTCGATTATCCACGTATACCACCTCGGCCTTCAGAATCAGGGTGAGCAGCAGAGCACTAGTGGGCAGAAGGAGGTTTGAGTTGGATGACAGCAGGCGAGAATATGGAGAGACAGGATGTGGACGAGGACATATGTAGGGATTGGCATTAAAAGTATGATTTTCCACCTAAACCATGGGCCGGTATTGAAGACATGGGATAAGTTACGCCAGTCGTGATGATCAAGATCTAGTTGTGTTCCATCTCCAGCTACTTTCGGCTTGGCAATCAAGTTGCAAGTCGGCTATCTGCCAAGCAAATGATAGCATAGCCGCGTGGGAAAACATTGCGTAAGGGTACCTAGGTCTTAGAGATTGTGCATGATGGGCAGGCGTCAAGGGGCATACACATCGAGATGGACTTATAAGGTTGCCTCAGCTTCCTCCCAGGCCGGTCAGCTTATCGGCTAAGGAGACCGTCTAGGGGCATCGCGTGCCTAGACTCTTGAAATAGGCAGCTACTTGTCTTGAGGAATAGCTATCGCATGACATCAACAATGTTTCCTCGGTTCGTTAACTTGCTTCCCATGATCTGGGCACCTAAAACAACTTAAGGAGGGAAGATTTATCGACAGTGATTATTGAGGTAGGCAAACAAAATTCAATTACCAACAGAGTAGGTTTTCTACCAGGCAACATCACTTCCTGGTATCAGCTTCGTTTCGATGACTTCTCATTACGTTTGGTTTCTTATGACTTGCTTGAGAATCATCATTGCTATGAGGGCTTGTGGCTGCTTGTGGCTGTGTTGTGACAAGTGACTGCTTCGTGGATACCTCAGGGATGCAAGTAGCTAGCTGTTACGACTCTCCATAAAAAGACCATCCAATTGGTACTTATCTCAGTTGAGCATCTCCCAGACACTGTGACTTACTTCCCGGTATAAGTTAAGAGTCGATAGTTTCTATTTTCTTTTATAATTATTCGTCTCCAAGACAACAAGCTGGTTCCAACAACACCCACATGGATGTAGACACGATAGACAGTCCTAGTAGCATGGAAGAGACGATGTGCTTGGACGAAATGAAGGATTCGGACACCAAGACAAAAGGACATGTCTACATCAAGTCAGAATGCGGACTTTGCGATCAAATTATTCACGCCGACGAGTGGACTGTAGCCTGTGAGAATGGAAAACCACTCCATATCCTTGCCCAGTTCTGTCGGTTAACGTTGGAGTTGTAGTGCTTGGGGACGAGGATGGTCTCAGCCCATTATATTTGACGAAGAAGTTCCGATTTCCAAAATCTCGGGAAACCGTTAAAATGGTAGACGAGCCAATCCTATGCCAATATCTTCAATGCAAGATATGTGATATGTCTCATCCATCTATGGCAATACACACAAACTGCTACCGTGTGTTTCAGCAGTCTTACCACCAGGAAGATGTCATGGACCCTATATGGGTCGCTTCAGCATGGAAGTTCCCATGGCGACACCGAACTACCCAGCGCAAGCCTCGACTCGATCTCACTGACACGACGCTGGTGTCAATAGGACCCCCAGTTGCTGAGGTCATTGGCATCCCGGGTCTGGCTTCTTTGCCACAAGAAGTGCTTCAAATGGTCAGGGCTTATACCCCTGGTAATCTCCTCTGGCGATATTCTCTCATCCAAAAGACTGCTGTGGAGATGTCACGGCCCTTCCAAAACCCCCTCGAGCCTGAAGAAGATGCTATTCATTTCTCTCTGGCAGTAGTGAAATCTTGGAAACGTGGAGTTCAAGGGGTGGATACTACTTGTGATGAGAGTGAATCAGAGTCATTCATCATCAGACTTACTGTTGACTGTCTTGACTTGAAGGAGATCCGTAGATTGCAAGATTGGCCAGAGTATAACCATATTCGGTCTAACACTTGCGCATATGTTTTCTTCACGCACGGACAAGCAAATAGCTCTTTAATTTCATCCAAGGTAAGTTGGCTCTTGACTGCATGGGGGCCTCTATTAATATTAAACAAGTTTGGGCGAGCATTTATCGAGAATCCTAATGACTCTCGAGAGTTCCAATTCTGGGACACACCTACCCCTCCCTTGAGAGGGTTGAAAATGTTTCCGCGACCGGATCGTCCAGGTTCCATTCGATACCGCACTGTCAATCTCCTCAATATCACGGGACTTACCTTCTTCTTTCTGAGAGGCTTCATAATGGCAGTTCACTCCCACACAGCGAACGCACCAGTCGCAGCACCAACTGTGCAACATTTCTCTCGTTATGAACGAGACCATATGATATGGACATATATCCCTATATCTAGTACTGATAGCCCTCCTTCGGATCGGCGTGGGAGACACCTGGCAAAGACTTGTAGAGGTAAGTGTGCATATTATCCAATCTCTTAACAATGTATCTCATGTCAGTAGATATGCACCAAACTCACAGGGACCTTTTTCTTTGGCCCTTATAAATGCTATACCGACACTGACCTTGTATCGGGCAATGAGCCATCTGTGCTCGTCTACAACGTACCGACTAAGCGAGTAGGCGGTTCACTCGGTACAGTTACTGAGCATAACTTTGAGAGTGGACCCTTATTATCGTTTCCTCGTTATCACAAAGACGAGAGGGATCCCTCCGGTCTGCGCTGTATCAATACTGAAGCTCCGGCGAAAAACATCACTCATGCTGATGTCTGTTACGACAGCAGCAATGGACACTGTAAAGGATTGCTCCTGGAGTATGCAAACGGTGCGCAGCAGGCAATAGGGCCATGCCGAATTGGTATTGACCCTTTCAATGCTTACGAAAAACCATCCTGGATCTGCTACCGGGATATATATGATCCAGAAACATGCGATGAAACCGGAAGTTGTATAGTTGAGTGCACCACTGGCACGAGTAGCCACGAGCATGAACCTTGCGACATTGGTGATTGGGTGTGTATGCGTCCAAGAGGAGGGGGATATCTTGAGTTCACGTGCGATCACAAGAGAGCCAACTTTGGTATGTATACTCGAGCAGATGAGGAAGAGAACGATGAGTGAAGAAGATAGAGTTCTTTCTCGTCTTCGATGAGAAGCACTTTTGGCTACTGACTTATATACTTCATTCTACTTTTTTGATACACATACAAGTAGCATTACCAGCCACAACACAGCCACCCTATTCCTCAACAATGTCTTTCCTTGGTGCATTTACACCGCAACCTTCTGGTGTAGATATCACCCCCAAAAGTGGGGTTGCCAGCAACATATATAAAATCGACCAAAACTCAACTTCTCAATCGTCGTTTCCATTTCGTAAAACACGGAACAAGCATTAACAATATCTGATACTGGAGCCTGCGCTATCAGCAACAATTTCTCATTTAACGACGCTGGAACTTTCAGCCCAAGGACTTGATGTGCATAGATTCGTTCTTCACTTGAGAAACTCATTGCCCCGTTTTACTCCATCATTGACAAGGGATCATCTCTCCATTTGCTGATAAAGCGGCTGGTTCGCACCTTAAAATGGATGCAGAGGTAGTCGATTGGGATGAATACATTCCAGATTATGATGAAGCACATATAAGTATCCGATCAGTATGTGGCCTCTGCTGTCAGACCATTGCCCCAGACGAATGGGCTATAGCATGTGAGTTTGATCAAGCACCTCAATGATCGTTTCCTGAGATTGCATTTTCAGTGTTATTGACGTATATTTTATATTTTTACAGTGCTAAACTACGGTCGGAACAAGTATGAAGCTCGGCCTGACTACTGCACAAAGAGATTCCGGTTCCCTCAAACGCCCGGAGTCATCACAGAGACTGACTGGTACCCCTTATGTAACAGCGTGGAGTGTCGAGACTGCAGGTGGTCGCCTGAGTCTGTGACAATGCATGCGAATTGCTATTGTTTGTTCCTACAGACGTACCGCGAGAAGCCAGTATTAGAACGTCTTTGGGTTGCAGCAGTCTGGAGGAATCCGTGGATTGTGTCTTCTTTAAAACCAAGAACACAACTTGATATTATCGACAACGGACTGGTATCAATTAGTCTTTCCAGTGCAGAAGCCTTGGGCATGCCGCTGCTAACAAGTTTACCATCCGAGGTTCTTCAGCTCATTAGAGCTTATTCACGCGAGAATGTTGTCTGGACCTATCCGGCTATCAAAGCCAAAGCAGAGGAAATGTCAAGGTTTGATGAAAGCATGTCCAGGGACGACGGTATGCAGTACAATCTCAGTATTGCAAAAAAAATGGCATCGAGGGCAAGATGCAGAGCTCGAAGAGAATCCACCCGAGTCTGTTGTGTTCCGGTTCACCCTCGATTCCCACGGGCTACTGGACATAGAAAGACTCCCAGACTGGCCCGAGTATAAGAGCTGTCGATACCGAACTCACAAATACTTCTTTATTGATTTTGCCGAAGCTCAACATACTTTGGTATATTTCAAAGTAGGTCCTCAATCTTTCATCATTTCAACTATCTTGTAGCACCACTGACAATGGGGGGAATCAGTTTGGACATGCACGGATGAGACTGGCTCCCTCGTGGTCCGGGCCTTTACAATTATGGGACATACCAAGTCCACCTACGGAAGGGCTTGAGGTTCTTTTGAAGCCACGTTTTACAGATGTTACTTGCAATCGCACCATCGATCTACGCAACATCATGGGCATTACGTTCTTTTACTACCAGGGCACTTTGATGGGACTTCATGCTCACACCCTCGGAGCCCCGACGGCGGTGTCTACCGTTGAGGACATCCTTTCAGATTATAAACCCCATTTAGTATGGATATACATTCCCATACCACATGGCGATCGCATTCTGAGATTTGGCCTGCGGACTTGGAAAAATGAACATGAGGAACCAGCGAACCATCACACAGCTTTACTTGTAAGTTTCGGTTCATAATGTGGCTTCTTGATACTGACTGGATGCCCAGGTGACCACAAAGCTTGCTGGCGACTTCTCTCTCGGTCCAAACTTCGATGTGGAAGATCAAAATTTCTTATTTCAAGGAACGCCCACTGTTCTTGTTCACAACACACCAGCACAGGGTGGAATTACATTATTAGGTCTAGCAGGTGATAGACCCCAGGAGACGCTACCCGCCCCTAGATTTCCTATTATCTCCCTCTCGCCTGACCAGTTAGCGTATGGTGGTAATGCTATTACAGTGGACATTTCACTGAAAGGTGCTGTCCGAATTGACATCTTCAAAGATACTCTCACAGGATGCTTAAGAGGCTTCCTTCTTGAGTATGAGAATGGCTCACAGAAGACTGCAGGGCAATGCCGCGTGGGGGTTGACCCGGTCACGGTTTGTCACAAACCCGTGTCGTTCTGCTACCGCAAGGTTCTTGGGGGGGGACTTGATGAGCACAGAAATTATGAACTTGAATGTTTTTCGGAGACGGGTGATCATCATTATGATCATAAATCTCCTTATGGGGCTTGGACTTGTTCAGATTTCGGAGTGTACGCCAAGGTTTGGTGTAACGATGTAACAACCGAACTGTATACATACACTCCCAGGTCTCATCGGTTTATAAGGATAGAGGATTGAATACAGCACTGGTGGTTCCATACCTCTGCCATCAAGATTAAAATCTTCTTGTCATTTAACTAAATATCTCAAAGGCACTTCTGCTCTTGAATCAATATGTGGAATATCATTCATATAGTACAGCCACATACCATATAGCTCAAGAATAATCTAGCCCATTGGAGGGATGGGTATTAACGATCTAGCCTCTTTGCAGAAAGGAATTCATCCGCAGCTGGCCAAGATGACTCCCAGTTTTCTATGCCTGACAAAGTCGAGTCTTGGACAAGAGGAGAGGGGGCACCCGGATCAAACGCACTGCACATCAAGGTTCCAGAGTTGAATGCTCCAGCGACGGAGATCATCATCATCACAACGATAGTGATGAACATATGGTCTGCGTACCCATCAAAGGATATATCGATTGCCACTGAGATGGCCGATGGACTCAGCTGGACATACATGAGCATGCGCCTGAAACGGTTGCGGAAATAATACAAATGGATATGAACGGCAGACATCCCCGGATATCCACGGTATAATGTATCACAACACATTCACAACCGCGGCAATGCAGCTTCAAACGAATGAGCTCAGTTGTTCTCTTCAGTCCATTTCTATTTTGAATATTCCATACACATAATTCCAGTCTACATCAATCAAATTCGCTAAATTTGTGACCCAAATAACAGCATCCGTCTTTCTCAGAACTGAACATCACCTTTTATGAACCCAACGCCGAATATTACACGACCCAGATATTCATGCCTCTTCATTAACTCGCTTCAAGTTCGCAGGAATGTCTTGAAAACTTGCGAGTTGGTGCAGTCTTCATAAGGGTATCCGATCTTGCGCAAAAATGACTCTAGTTCAGGAACCTCGTCGTCAGGACATAGGATGCCAGTAACAATCTTGCCCACGTCACCGCCGTAGTTACGGTACTGGAACAGGCTGATGTTGAACTTGGGTCGAAGTGTGACGAGGAACTTCTCGAGAGCTCCAGGTCTCTCAGGGAAGGTGAACATGTATAGTCGCTCGTTGGGAACACCGGATCGACCGCCGACGAGGTATCGAATATGACTCTTTGCGAGCTCATCTTGTGATAGATCGGTTACGTTCATGTTGTTGGATTGAATACGGTCCATGAGAGAGCGGAGTTCCTCTGATCGCTGGTGGGCGGGTGCGGTCAGAGAGACACCGATGAGGATGTTGGCGACTTCGTCTGTCGAGTATCGGTAGGTGAACTCGGTAACGGCATGGGGCATGATGTTGTTGATGAGCTCGGAGAAAGCTCCAGGTTGTTCAGGAATCTGCACGGCAAGCAAAGCCTCCTTACCCTCGCCCATGGTAGCACGCTCAGCGACGAATCTCAGACGGTCAAAGTTCATGTTGGCGCCGGATGTGACAGCAATGAGGTTGCGCTTCGAGTCGTTTGAGGGGTTCTGGGCGACGTATTTCTTGAGACCGGCGATGGAAAGGGCTCCAGCGGGCTCAAGGCCAGATCGGGTGTCGTCGTACATGTCTTTGATAGCGGCGCAGATCTCGTCGGTCGTCACTTCGACAACGTCGTCGATAACCTCCTTGCAGATGCGGAATGTCTCCTCTCCAGGAATCTTGACAGCAGCACCATCGGCGAACAGGCCAACCTCTTTGAGTAATACCCTCTCTCCCGCCTTCAATGACTGCGCCATGGCATTGGCATCGTGGGCCTCAACACCAATGATCTTGACGTGAGGGGCCATACGCTTGACGTACAGACCAATTCCGGCAATGAGACCACCACCGCCGACACCACAGAAGATAGCCTCCACCTTGGCCATGTTGACCTGGCCAAACAATTCGTTTCCAATGGTTCCCTGACCAGCGATAACATACGGATCGTCGAAGGGAGGGATGTTGATAAGACCATCTTGCACCTCTCTTCTCGCGCACTCCTCCTTAGCCGCATCGAAATCAGCGCCATGCAACACAACGTGGCCGCCCAAACGAGCAACGTTCAAGTGCTTGATACTAGGAGTCGCTTCGGGCATGACAATGGTCGCAGGGATCTTGAGCTTGCGGGCTGAAAAAGCGACACCCTGGGCATGGTTACCAGCAGAACAGCAAACAACACCCTTCCAGCTCTTAGTGGGGTCGAGATGGGCCATCTTGTTGTAAGCGCCGCGCAGCTTGAAGCTGAATACGGGTTGCTCGTCTTCACGCTTGAGGAGGACATTGCACTCGAGTCGGTTGCTCAGGTTGACGGCGTGTGTGAGGGGAGTGACCTTGCAGGCCTCGTAGACTCGGGATGTAGCGCTGGCGATAAGACGAAGGTACTGAGACAGTCAGCTTCGCAATTGGTATTTCGTTCAAGGGGTATTGAACTCACGTCTGGGTATCCTGTAGGAAGGAGATACTCCTCGGGCACAATCTCCTTGATGCGCGCCCGCTTCTCCTCAGACGGTGTAGACGGATTGACGCTGTACTCTGTCAAAGCCATTCCGGTCATCGGCGTATGCGGCCGAGAATGAGAGTCGCCATTTGTGCCATTGACAGTGCCGTTCACGGCGCCGTTCACAGGCACCGCAACGATGGGATCGTGAGCTGAAGGCATCGTGAGGGAATGTGTAAAGAGAATATGTGAAAAAAAGAACAAAGGTTGGAGTGAGGAAAAGGTAAATAGTATTTAGTCCTTCTAGTCACCGCCGAACGATCGGACCTGATTTTTTGTTGGACACCAGCTGTGAGTCAATTGGCACAGGGGTGACGTAGAATTGTGGGGTGTTCACAGCGAGATAAGAAGTATATGGCGGGTGCGGATAATGCTTGGGCGGGCTCACCGAGTCCGTTGAAGGCCGATCTAACGCCGATTGTCGTGCGATGTTCTACAGTGAAATTGCTCAGAATTGAGCAGGTAAAATGGATAATGGCCTGATTTCAAGAGACATCAGATAAAAGAGTCACTTGTAAAGACTTCAAAATGCCATGTATAATTTAGTGAGTGTTTAACCCCAATAGAGGGGCTAGAATACAGCCCGTGGGGTTCGATATCGGAGGTTGTACCCGTCGCACCACCAACCACAGCTCTTGTATTTGTCCATTTCAGGGCGTGCCCAGCGTGTTAGTGAAAGGCGTTTTGGACAATGCAATGGTCTCCATGATGCGAAAAGTCATTTATTTATCGTATTCTTGAATTCGGATATCGTTCTAATCATAATGTTCACATTCCAAGCCCAACTTCTAAGCCATTCCCTCCCATACTTTTACTTCCTCACCACATCGTCATATGCAGGCGGTGCGTCCTTTTCAACATGTTGTTGGTTAATGGCATCCATCTCATAGACACCATTGTTTGGCTCTTCGTGAAAGTCTCTTGTTTCATGAACATTCTGACTTGAGCCTCCACCAATCATTCCAACTTTCTGTGATCCCGACTTGACCATCAAAACACCCGCTTGTCGTCTCTCAGCCCGTTGATAATCCCTCTCTGCTCGCTGTTCGGCTCGGAGTTGCATGCGTTCAGCATGTTGCATCTTTTTCTGGTACCGACGCTCCATCTTGCGTTGGTGACATGATGATCGACCAGTGCTCATGGCCATGTAGTCGGGGTTAGGACCCATGAGTTGAGGTTGTTGGACAAGATAGGCTTGTTGCTTTCGACTTCCGTAGCATCCTCCAGAGCGAGGCTGGCGGGAGTCTGAGGAGCCCATAAGAGTACGCATGGCAAGACCGACGAGACCCATGATGAGTGTAAGTGAGAGTGAGGATGAATAGTATTGTGTGATTAAGTGTATTGTTCGATGCTAAAGTATGTGATGTAGGGTAGTTGCCTTGACTGTATGTCTCGTGTCTTGTGATGAGAATCTCTTTTCTCCTACGACGAACTACGTCTTCTTATACTTTGAGATATTTCTCCCTCCCAATTGAAGCCATTCCCGAATTGTAGATTCATTCGAAATTCCACGGCGCAGCTTCGAATGCGAATGCGCAGCCACCGCTGACGTACTAACATATCGAATGGATCTCCAAACAGGGCTTAGCGTGATCTTCGTGATGGTTGTCACAACCAATCTTGCATCGCCTATCTATTCGCACTCGCTTCGGGGAAGACAATTTGCCGTATTCCTCATTCGGAATGCGACCAGGCTATGTTACCTTCATGTTTCGTTACTTTATTTTTTGTTGTCATAGCACAGGAAGATCTTGAGTGACGAGATCTCAGATTGAAGAAGTGCACTTGACCCATCATTGAGATGTACTTTGAAAGCTTACGAACACAAATACGTTCAGATCGTCATCATTATATCGCAGTCTATGCAGTCTACTCTATAAACGCATTTTATCAATCATAAACATGAAATCATCATCGTTCAAATGATCGGGAAAGCTCCCAATATGCTCTAAGAAGCGCGATTCCTCCAACCTGTGTCTCAACAGTTCGACCACGACCTCGTTCATTGGGATCCTGTCCTTTCGGCTTCGCCTCTCGAGGTGAATGTCTCCCGCCGCGAGGGAGAAAGTCGTCTCCAACACTGTCCATAACATGCTGGTCAGACTTCGGCCCTGAAGGTGACCAGTGTCCTGTACCTGGAGTCCATCGATGGAGTCCACCCCAAGTCTCATCGTCAGGCGTTCCTTGGTTGCGGTAGTCGGTTGCGTTCTCAGCGGCATGGTCGATACCATCGGTATCCAAAGTTGCGAGGACACCATAGATGCCAGCTCCCCACCACATGCCAAACAGCCCGTCGTCATTGCGAGTCTTCAGAGCCGCGTGAGCATTGTGTTTGACCCAGCCCAAGTATGACTGGCAAGCATCTGCGTGAATGCCTTTCACCCGTCGATACCCATGGGGATCGATCGTTCTGTCCTGTTTGGCGACCAGAGGTTCAAGAGGACTACAGAATGCAGTGAAGTGGTGGAAGAAAATGCCCTTGAAGGTTTGACCATCCTGTGAACAGGTGCTACTAGCATCGCACTGCTCTTCCAGGATGCCTCCTCGGCCAAGTCCATGCCATAAAGGCAACTGACCGGGACCCAAGTGTTTCAGATCATCGACAGGCTTATTCTCCTTCAAATTCCATCCTGTAGCTCTGATGACGGACTGGATCAGACGATGCCCATCTTCCAGGTACGACGCGCTTCCACTGACAGACCAGAGACCTCGTTGGCCTGTTAGCAAGACACCTTGGTTGTACGTGTACACCATCTCGTCTCGAAGATCGCACTTCGTGTTACCAGGCTTGGTACTATCGATATGATATCCGTCCACAAATAGACCCAGGGAGTTGGTCATGTTGACGTCGATGAGCCACTTGTACCCTCGCATGGCGGCCTCCAGATGTGCAGGGTCGTTACCCGGGAATGCAGCATTATTCAGCCATGGCGCAGTGAAGTTGTCTCCAGGAAAATGCTCGTACATAGAAATCGAGGCAGCCACCCAGAGTTCATTCGTGATGGCGTTTTTGTATGGGTTCAAACGAGGATTCCAAACCATGCCTCCGTTACAATATTTGGTCTCCCAGCCGTGAGTTGCCAGGTTCCAGAAGATACGAGAGCGGTGCGCAAAAGATGAGAACCAGTTGTAACCCTGCCATGGCATAGATTCGATGACTTCCCTCAAATTGCTGCTCTCAGAAACTCCCTCGGATTTGATCTTGGGGTAGTGAAGATCAGCGTGAGTTCTCACGAATTTAATGGCCTCGATCCAGCCAAGGGCGACCCATAATATGTCGTCGTAAGCCTACGTAAAATGTCAACAAAATGAAGAAACTCGTTGGTTCTCAGGGTCGACTTACCTGGCCTCTGATTGAAAGCACATCTTGTCCAAAGTATGAACCAACAAGTTGAGCATAGAAAGTCGCGATGACGTTCTCTTTCACTCTCCAATCATCAATACCAGCAAGATCGACCGAATCAATGGCCTTGGACAAAGTAGTGAGCATTCCGGCTACGACTGTTCCTGCAACAGCAGCAGTCCAGTCTATAGCAGAGGGCCATGTTGCGTAGTCTGGTTCAAAGAAGTGATCTTGGAGAGCTGAAAGAGCACTGAGAGCGTCCTCGAGAATCTGAGTGTCTGCTGGAGGAGAATCAGAGGGCTTCGAGGAGAAAGTCAAAAATGTATCAGGGATAGGACGGCATTTGGTTGGCGGCTCGTTGTAGAGAACGGGACAGTACTCTTTGTGAGCGCTCTCACGGCTGGGTGCAGCTGATATAGGCAGGACGATGGCGAGAAAGCTTGCGATACCAGCGATGGTTTTGAGCCAGGCCATGGCAGTTACAATAGGCGGTTCTAACACCTAGAACCAAGATTTTGAAATGTCCTTGCGATAGGTGGGAAAAGGGTCCTCCGATCAAGCCTCGTAATGTTCATGAAATAGAGTTGCCCATCTCATAAATTGTGGCGATGCGATGTCGGAATATATCGAGGAGTGAGATAAGCTCTGTTCAGAAAAGGGCAATCCAGGTTCTCAAGGAGAAGGAAGAGCCAAGTGAAATATGTGCAGAAAGAAAAGAAAAAAAAGAAGGAAAAAGACGCAAGAACTCGAGACGATGTCAAGTCAAGATCAAAGTTATCTCTATCAGACAGACACTGACACTGACAGTGCAACACAACGGACGATCTGCCCCACCACGAAACAAATCGAGCAGGTCACAAGATTCTAGAACGATTTTAATGACTAGAGGCTGAAGAGACGGTGAAAGGGGACGGATTGGTGCTAACAGAAAGAATATCACTCATATCTTGGCTTTGATCATGATCACTCAACTCATGGTTGAATAAGTGCCTGTATCACTTCTCATGATGCAAGATAAGAGTTTGATGCGCAATTACACTGCCACAAGATAATACTTCCATACTAAGAATGAAGAACCTGTGATGACGAGATGCAGACTTCGTAAGCAATAATAAAATCTCTAGAGGTTTAAGTTAAGTTGATCAAAGGCAATCTTTAGCCATATCATGGACTTTAGGTTAACCTCTGCAAGAAAACGTCCTGTAACCTAAAACCTGACGCGCTGTGAGCCTGCAGCATCGTTAACCCAAAACGGCCCCGCGATGAAAGACAGGGCTTTCGTTCGACAGTTGACTTCATCCAATCATATAACGCGCTGATTATTTTAGCGGCTCTAACAACGTGAATCCCAACCTCGAGTGGCTGGTATCAGTTGCGGGAGTGGGTCTCGGGGCGCTTTGTTTACTTTCGCCCGAAAACAGTCAAGACCCCGGCCTCTTGTTTCCCGACCTAAACACAGCTTCATAGGTACTTCAGCAGGCCTCTCTTTCTCCCCACCAAAACATTGTCACTTTTCTATTCCTCCATCTTCATATTGGGCATTTTCTCTTCTTCTCACGTCCCTCTTGACGCGTTTCGCCCAACAGATGTATCCCACATACAAGTCGACATAGCATTGACTTCTTCTAAACCCCTAACCACACGAACACGCCGTTTTCCCATATACGCGCCACGGGTGCTATAGCATCCTCGCCTAACATCGTCTAATTTCAAAGCTCTCACCAAATACAAATACACGCCCACAGCGCGTGAGAAGGAGCTATGGAGGTCGACGCCGCAAATAGATATCGATCTCGCATCCTTAGAGAAATGAAAGCAAACCGCGACAACCCTTTCAACTCACCACCCTCATCAACTGGTTCACACGGCACCATCAGCCCAACACTATCCTCAGTCTTCTCCGACCCAGATGGCGAGTCCACAAGAAGACTGAACGAAGATATTGCTCGCGTTACTGCTCCCCGCAACCTCCCCGTCAATTGGGAGGCTGCCCATCGCAAGTGGCCCGAATTCTTTGGCATGCCCAAGACGCGCGAGGTGCCTGTCTACGACGATAACACTGACACTCGGCCTATGAGTGCTGAGTCCAAGGAGAACAAGCCTCCTGCCTCTGGAATCAAGTTCGCCATTGACGACATCACACAAGACACCTGGCAAGGTTCCGCTAGAACGCGTGCTGAGATGCAGCCTCGCGTCGACAACGAGTCCGACCTGTCTTCGATCCTCTCCAAGTCTCCTAACCGAGCCCTTTCTTACCATTCTTGGAACAAGAACGCACACAACCCTAGCCCATTGTCGAAGGTCCACAACCGAACCTCTTCCGAATCAATGGCCGCACAAAAACAACAACGTCGAGAGACAATCTCTGAGGCATTTGACCGCCTACGCAGTAGTGCAAAGAGTCCCGAGCTTCGAGATCAAAACCAGCAAAACAAGTCCTCACCACAAATGTCTTCAGCCAAATCCAGCTTGACTGCTGTTCCTCCTTCACCCGCATCCATTGCCAGCCCTGCTCACAACGAAAGCAACGCTCGCTCTTTCTTTATGCCTGATATCTCACACCTTGGTGACTTTGTTGACGGTACTCTTCGATTCAGTGGCTCAATGAGGAATGGTGTTCCCATTTTCGTCAAGAATGGCAGAGTTCATGACCGTTTCGAGAAGCCGTCACTTTCTGCCCATGCCGAAGTCGATGAAGTTGAGGTGCCAGAAGATGAAGAGAAGATATTTGTTTCGATGGATATGATCCGCGAAGAAATCATCTCTCTCCAAGAGCACTATGACAAGGTCCACGAGTATGCCGAGAACCTGCAGCAACAGGTTGAGCAATTGGAGGCTCAACTCAAGTCGCGAAAGTCGTACAACGATGACTATGATTCTGCTCGGGCCAACGAGAAACTCATGGCTCAAAAGAACCGTAAGTCCCAAATCATGATATTCTAAGCGCGCTACTGACTCATTCTAGGTCTGGAAGTTGAGGTTTCCACTCTCCAATCTCGCTTGGAGCAAGCCTCACGCAAGATCAGCTTGAATGAGATTGAAAACGACTCTTTGTCTCAAGAACGGGACCGCGCAGTGAGGAAGCTACAGGAGGCTTGTGAGGATATCAACAAGCTTACCCGCAAGCTGAGCACGAAACAGAAGGAACTGGAGACAACTCACAAGCAGCTCGAGTCGACAGAGCAAATTCGTAACGAGAACGACACCCTTCGACGAGAT